AACAAACAAAACGTTCCCAGGCTAGAAAAATATTGCAATTCAGGCTTTGTCAATCCTGACTGCCGATTACTGTCCCAAACACTTACTATGTTTTGCACTTGGCGACCGCCTCCCCCAGTCTAATTATTACTGCACGCGCACACTGGTGTTGTATCTCACAAGAGCGCAGCATCTTGTTGACAGTTCCCCTTAAATATTTGCCTTCAATCATTTACTTCTGGTGTCACGGGCCGAGACGTTTCCGTGTTTGCGCGCCGAGGGAGACTCTTTCGTATACGTGTCCAAATATGGGCTGCGTTTCTTTCTCTCACCGTGAATAAGGCAGACCAGGCAGCAGAGTCGGGAGGAGACTTGTAAGGACCCTTTGTGCGCTCCAAAAGACAAGCTATGCTCTTTCCATTCCAGAAGGCTGTAAAATGTCTTGACGTGCACTTGTGGAGGATGCTGCACTTCTCCTTGTCTCCGTTTTGGAGATATTTCTTCCTAGGCTCTCACGCTTGAAAAATCCGTTTGGATGTCAAACATCTGTTTGTTTCCGACCCACTCAAGAGTGATAAGAGATCCTCATAAAAACATCCACAAAGTTCATTTTTAGTCAGTGAGCTTCGCTTGAACTTATAAAAGGAAGTAGACGTGACCACAAAAATGACTATCACTTGGTGTGAAGCACACCCTTAACATGTGTGGGAAACAGCGGCGATGGAGACATTCCACTGTGGGTTTTTTTTTGTTTCTTTCAACAGCGAGTGGGCCACGGTGGTTTGGCCACACTGAGGAATGCCCACGTCTCCGCTCCACCTGCATTCTTACAGCGAAGCCTGTCTGCAGTCACGTTTGATCAAAAGAAAAAGAACAAAAGTCGGGGCCAGACAATGTGCAGTTAGTCAGAGAGGAAATAAAACAACAAATGGAAGAGGGTGAGGGGTGGGGTTCCTTGAGTAGAAGACAAAACAAAAGGGTTGAAAAGAACATTGAGAAATGATGAAGAGAAACCATTTTACTCTGATTTGAAGGTGTTTTTGTCATTGTGCAGCATTAACGCATCACTGTGGGTAATTTTTGACCCAATGGTGCTGGGTCAAATCCTCAGCCCACTACACTGGGTACAAATAACACAGAATCAGTCCTTTCTGGACCTAGTACTGGGTTAGCTACAATGCTTCAACCAATTTGGATGACTTTTAACAAGACATGGGCCGTTGTCCAGTCTGACTGTTTACAGTGGTTTGAAAAAGTCAAGTTTTCAATAACCGCTAATAATGGCTGTCTGTCACCGGTAATGAGCTCTTCTTTTCATTTTTGAGGGGACTTCTAAACAGGGCACAACATGATTAGCTACTTTCAGGGTTGAGTAAACAAAGCTTAAGCTTTGAAGTTAATTGCCTCTAATGAACTTTTTCTCCTTCTCTGCCAGCAGAGCATGGAGGGTTGAGTTATATTACTCGTTAGCCCCAAGGACAACATGAGTAGGCCACGGGTCTGGTCCAAAAGTAGTAGCATTTTATATTTTGTGTAAAAATAAAATACATTGTGTTTAATGGGGAATTATTTACCCCCCCCCCAAAAAAAAACACAAAAACAAAAAAAGGTAATTTTAGAGCTGTAATTTTAACCGTGAGCAAAAATACTGCAGCATCACTGTATTAAGAGTGTATGTTGCCTCCGTGAGGGATTAAACGCCATTTCCTGGGGACCTAACAGTTTAGTGAAGACACGCCGCTACGCCCCCACAGTGTCCTCTCTTGAGGATACCGTGCACCTCCTTCCTCCTCAGCACTCGCGCATCGACCGACTATTTGTTCAGCTCTAAAAGGGGCGTGGAGGCCGCAGACTGACAGTCATCTAATGAGCCTAAAGCAAAGTTTCCAAATTAAGCCTTAAGAAGCTTCAGCTGGACCGAGTGTTGCATTTCACTGTGCTGTGATTTAAATCCCAGGAGGGGGAGGCTACAGATCATTTGCAGTCGGCACAATGATTCCTCTGGTCCACGAATCGCCTTTCAGCACAGATCCATGAGAAACAGGATAGAAAGAAATTAAAAGAAATCACAAGGAATCCCGTTAAGAACTAAAGTATGGGATAAGTGGGTGTCAAATGATATCGTTTAATAGATATTCCTGCTGTTACTTGTCCAAGTTTAGCTGGGGGAGGTTTAAGTCTCAGCTCTGTCCCGATATAGCCCTGCTGACGGAGAAATACTGTGGCATTCTTGCTTACATGTTGGCTAAGGAAGCCCCTTGCATACATGCTGGAGCAGAACACGGACCGCCACTGATTCCTCCACACGGATGTGTCGCCAACTCGGTCCCTGGAAGAACCTGGGCAAATTCGGCACGAAGCTGGCGACACATAAAGGCCCAGGAATGTTGCAAAGCCTTCCTGCGATAATGAACCTCCAAATGATGATCTTTGATCGAGAACGGTGGAGTGGCTGCAGCACTTTAAGTCACATTCCAGCAACATCCTAAATCAAAGCCCTTTTTTTCCGCCGGCCTTTTACTCCACTCGATAAAATGGAGGAGCTACGGCACAGTATGTGACCAAGGCATTGCTGATGACCTAAAATAGTCATGCGCTCCAGACCCGAGCAATAAGACGCTCTTGTCAGCTGATGAATATTGGGTTTACCTTGGAGAGTGTCGCTTCGGCGAATGCCACGATGACCTCACGCTCTGAAAGTCACAACAAGCTTCCTTCATTTACAATTCCAAACATTGTGCCCCTTGCCGTAGTGTACACACATACTTCATCTACTTGGAACTGGCAAGCACAAAATGGTCTTATCTGGGACATTTAAGTGTTTCCAAACAGTTTGTGTGTTTTTTCTGTGTGCAGTATGTTCAGGGGAGAGGAGGGAGTGTGTGTGTGTGTGTGTGTGGGGGGGGTAACTACTTCCTGAACAAAATGGACCAAAAGCCAAACAGTTCTACTTGTCAGCGGGGAAAATTCCTTGGCTTGCGCGCAGTACAGGGATCTTCACACAAGAATTTTTTAGGATTAAAAGTGAAAAGTAGGCAGCACGGCGGCTAGCGGTTTACACGTCTGGCTTACAGTTCTCCGGCTCAGATCTCAGCTCCGGCCTTCCTTGTGTGGAGTCTTCGGGTACTGCGGCTTCCTAACACATTCCAAAAACATGTTAGGTTGATTGAACATTTGAAATTTTGAATCGTGAATGTGAATAGTTGTTTGTCTGTCGGAGCAAACTTATTTCAGAAGTGTGGATCAAAGCTAGTGGCATGAAGCAGTACGCAGGAAGTAGCGGTCAGTTTCATGCAGGCTGGTATCCTACTTTTTAACATTTTAATAATTGTCACATGATCACTAACGTTAAAAAAAAAACAAACAAAAAAAACCCTCAAGAGTGATGACCAAGTAATGCACGTATTGAGCCGCACTTCGTGTACATCAGGTGGATAATTGCTTTTTCAGCTTCTTCTACTTTTGAGGCTGGTCCTTCTTTTTGAATAGTTGCAAAAATGGCAAAGAAAAATCCAAACACATGCACAGATTTCATTTGGGATTGGATACTTACAGCCCGGGAGCAATTGCAGCCTGCCGTCCATTTTTCAGCGATCTGCAACATACACTAAAAATGACATTTGACATGGCTCGTAATGCGGCAGCCTGAGAAGTGGGTGTCAAAAAAAAAAAAAAAATAGGTAGTACAAAAAAAACAGCAACAAAAAAAAACTGATTTGATAGGTTTTACAACTTTTTCAAGATACGCAGTGGTACCCTTAAACTACAGTATTCACAATTATTTCTCTTTTTAAAAGAGTGGTGAATAAATACAATTTGTTTTTAGAAGCAAAAATGTTTTCCTCCACTCAAGGTCTGATTTGTGAGCATATCGCATGAATGAGCCGCAAGTAAATTCTTCAAAGATGGCCGGTTTACTTCAGATGGCTCTTGTTTTGATTCTCAAGGTGGAGATGCGATTCAGCTGCCGCTCGGTGCAGCGGAGGGTCTAACTCAAGTGGGACACAAAGCCATCCGCCACCCCAAAACCACGAAAAACAAATTACTTGCTTTATCATCTTCAACAGAAAGCTGTGTCACAGCAGCTTTTCAAAATAATATAAACAAGATATAATTGCCCGTTTGATTGATTTTTAGCATGTTTATGAATTAAACTTGGAAGATTTTTGGTACATTTTCTGTATGCAGCCATCTGAGGAAAAACATTGGATACCCCTGACTTGATCCATTCTTCTATTTTTGTTTATGCTGCGGTCTTGTGACGTCATACATTATTATTATTTTTTTTATATATACATGATGGCGGTGGGAACGCAATTGTCATTTTTAAGGCAAAATTTGGGCTGGGTTTTGAAATTTCCCACTTCAGGAACATTGTAACTTTTTGTTTTAAAATAGATTTTAAATGAGTCCATAGCTCAATTGAACATCAGTTTTCCTCAGAGGTTATGACGGCAGTTTAAAAAAAAAAAAAAAGAAAAAAAGCCAGAGTCTAATCAGAAAAAGACCCCGCCGAGAGAGGGGAGTACTATTCATATGCGGCATCACTCGGACCTCTTTTCTTGCTGCTTGGCCTTCGATGAGTATAAAGAACCAAATATGGTGTTGACGGGGATTTCACAATACACGACGGGACACCACTTAACATCCTTTACAGGCCCTGTCGCCTTCCCTCCCCACGTGACTTATTGTTACAAACCAAGCAGTGGGTGGAATGTCAACAAAAACGCTTGATGTTTTATTAATTGGAGCATCTTTTAATTGGAGTGGTTGTAACATTGTGAGATCATCACCGGTATGATCATTAATATAAGAATGAATGTGTGATTTAAAGTCTGAGCTGTCGACAAAGAAGAGGGAGGTAAAACAGAACTCCACCATTGCTATATTTGGTCTGATTCGCCAATCCTTCCACTGGAAGGATTTCTCCAAGCGCAATTTTACGTGACAATGCTGACACCTGCTGGAAAGAATGTTATATAGTGAGACCGATGGCAAAAAAAAAAAAAAAAAATAGTAGATCTGCTTGATTTTTTAAATTTATTTTGTGATGAATACAAAAAATACCTTTGTGACAAGATAAATATACATTGAGCATCAAGTCATCAAACTACACGCGGTTTTGCACAACACCTATTCGTAACACAGTCAACTCCCCTCCCATTTGCTTGAATATTTGCACAAATCATTCAGATAATAAATACACAGTGCTGGGCAAAAATACTGGCCCGTCATTAGATTTGTTGTTGGAGCAGACTATCCTTTTTTTTATATACACAATAACAAAACAAAAAATGTTGGGATGTTTTTCTAACTCACTTGCTGGGTAACTGTGGATTTTGAGCGCGTTGTGTTACTTTTACCCGTTTGGGTTATTATTCGTGGTTGGATGGCTCAGTGGGTTGCAGTGTTGAGTTTGGAAACCCTCAATTTAATAACCCAGGGTAGAAATAACCCAGCATTGGCTCGGTCCCTTTCGGACCCAGTGCTGGGTTCGCTATTTCACCCAATTTGGGTTATTTTGAACCCAGCAATTTTAAGAGTGGAGATGCCGGAATCCCCCTCTAAAAAATACAGCCAGACACACACAAAAAAGAAGTTTTCATCTCGAACTTTGTGATTGGTCCATGCTTACCTTCTGCAAAAAAAAAACAAACAAACAAAAAACACTCCCAAAAACCAATCATGTAGTCTTGTGTTTTTGCTGCACCCAAACGAATGCAATGACAACGGTCATTAAAACAACAAAGCTAATGTCAGCCTCAGACCTTTGCTCAGCACTGCATGGCAGGGTAATTCTTAACTGGTAAAAACAGACATTTTAACATAGATGACAAGAGAAGGGAACAACAACAGCCCATTATTTTTTTTTTTCTTCAACAACTTCTCATAACTTCAAACACAAACATGCTGAAGGAATGCCGTTAGCATTCCACCAAAGTTTCGAAATCCCCGAAAGGTATCCACGATAGCAATATAGGCAGGTACAGGCCCGGCAGCCAAGGCATTGGATCGTATGGCAAAGGACTCCTCATGTTGCGGCTCAGGCCTTGATGGGGATTGGCAAAAAAATGTTCTCAAGGCTCAAACTCCAACCAGGACGCCTCTTCAACTCTTTGCACCACATACTCGAGTAAGGCACTAAGACACAACGCAGGAGGTAACCTGCTGGCAAATTCCCGACATCCAAGACGGACCCAACCGGGCTCCTGAACCACGGCTTTCGTTTCTGACCTTTTTCAGCGGGTGAAGGAATGTCTTAGATTCGCAACAATGGAAGCTTTCTCAAGCCATTTCAGTGCATCCGATAGGCTAATTCGATCCTACGTAAACGTGCTGTCAGTCCCCGTAACAGTGCAAGACCTTCATCACCAGCTCGCAGGTGTACATGAACCATTGAGGATACATATTGATGCTATGTGCCCTTATGAAATTGTGACGGCAATTATTATAAATGTAAATATTGGACATGACAAATAGGCCTACAATCTATGATTAAGATGCACACGACTCACAAAAAGTTGCGGGGTGAAATTTCGGGATAACCCTGATGTGCGCTTTACAAGGTGGAACCTAATTGAAACTGATCTCTATTTTCCAATGTCCAGATGTTCAATGTTTTGTTGTTTTTGCGCAACTTGCTTTTCTCGAACGAGCTGAATGGCAAAATTGGTGTTGGAACCATGAAAATTTCCAAGGATGTCTACTTCTATGCTTTTCTGTGACTCTTCCAGTCTCTGAATGTCTGTTGCAACCTGCGGTGACAATTGAAGCTCAGAGGCCACTTCCCTTTGAGTACAGACGCGCAATGGCGAGGTACTGCTGATCACATTTTTTTTTGTTTTTGGTCTCATGATGTCAAAATGTAAACAGCACAATTAAGAGGACTGCTTAAATATTCATTCTAACCGCACCAGGAAATTTACTGGTCCATTCATGGATCAAACCTGTCGTGCAAAAAGTATTGAAACATCGAACATGTGCATTACTAAAATTTAGAGAATGTCAAAATAAAGGGGAAAGTTGCAATTAAAACAAGGAATCTTCACTTTTGGTCATATTTGTAAAAACTGCCACTATAAACCTGATAGCAGAACATCTGAAAAATTATCTGAGGAAAGAAAAAACAACTTCTACCACTAATTTGATTCTGAAGAAACTGTGGCGCCCTAGGAAAAACAACCAATCAGAGACAGAAGGTCTGACAGATGTGCTGTCAATCAATTGCAGTAGCCAAAACAGCCTCATGCTTCCTCGTTTCCTTGGCATTTGGGAGCTTTGCTGAAACTACCGCAGAATAGCCGACGCCGGATAGCAATGAAAGTTAACTAGCAAGAATTTGGCAGTTGCAATAAATTCAAAAGGCAATTATCCTGAACTTTTTGTGAGTGGCGTACGTCCAAAGATAACATTTTCCCAAGTGAAACACAACATATTATAATCATTCAAGTATTTAAAAGCTTGTTGCGTGTACATACCAGTGACTGAGAAATAAAAGCTTGTTCTTGCAAAACGGTTTAGGCAAAGTATTGCACGGGATTGAGCAAGAGCCGCCATAATTACAGCTCATTTGAATCAGATTTGTTTTCTCAAATAAAATGTTGGGAAAGTAAAATGGACTTAGAAGAAGGCAAAATAGAGTTTTCATGACAAAGCCCAAGAATTTGCCCATCTTTCAGCATACGGGGATTTGCCATTTCATTTTTTGGGGGAGCATGTTGCCGCATGAGCTTGTGCATGCAACTGGCCTTACGTAATGCTCGTATTGCTCTGTTTTTTTTTTTCTTGTTGCTAGAAAACAGTCCATTTTCAATACAGTATAATCTTATTTTATTGTCATATTGCTAATCAATACTTTAAAATTACTTGTGCCTTGCAAATCTTGCTGATAGTTTGAACGTATTTTATAATAAGTGCAATGGAACTTCTGAAGTCGAAATGGAGAGGAACACCTACCTTGAGTGGCATATTTACACTTTGCTGTTGTTTAACTTATTTTTACACTTGTATGATAATCTTACTTCAAAATAGGTTTTATGAAAAAAAAGCTTTTACGATAGTCATGTCCATCATTAAATCTGAAAAAAGTTGACCGGAAATTGACCTTCTAAGTTCCATTTAATACTTCCACTTAATGTTAATCGTTATCAGTGCAAAAAATATGAGAGAGAGAAAAAAAAAAAAGATAAAAAATGCCAGCAAGATTGTTGCACTGCTCTGTGAGTTTGTGTTTTTCAAAGCTGGAGTGAGGTGGGAAGCAGGCAGATCATTTTGGTCACAAGACACACCTTTCTGGTCCACTCTGTAAGAAAAACTATATAACTATATATATTTTTTAAAAAGTATCAGTCAAGAATAAATATACTTTTTATTATTTTAGTTTTGCTGGCAGCCGCAAAGCCTCTAATTGGAAGGATTTCTTTCCAAAACGCTATAAATCCATTTGGATTATACAACAACAACAACAACAAAAATACAATTACAATCATGAACTTATCCTGTCGAAACAATTCATTGGCTTAGTCTGAACAAATGATAATAGAGCCTGTACACAACAGAACGGCACAGCAAAATCCTTTTTTCTTTTTTAATGTGGCATTTATCGCGTTTTGGAAAAAGCTTTTCATTTTTAGATCACATGTAATAAGTGCTCGACTACTCTATTGGTTAGTAGCTTCATTGATATGTAGAGATTAGATGGTGCGTGCAAGCCGGTGGTGACATCATCCCCCTTCCTGCCTCTGTTTTGATCCTTTGAAATAGATTAAAAGTAGCGATGGACCCTTAACTGGACTCTGCCACGATCATCTGCTCGCTGACTATAAAACATTCGGTAACAATGATAAGATTTAGAACTTTCTTCACGTCATTTTAACATGAACGACGCAGGGAAAAAAAAAAAGGTTTCGTACACGGCTTCATCGTACGGTCTCAAACGTCAACATTATATTATGGAAACGCCAGCGCCTGTCACTGACACACGCCCGCACACACGTACACACAAAATACACAACGAAGCACAGGCACTTGGTCGTCTTACCAAACGGGCCTGTTTCAAGTGCTGTATAATCCTCGGTTACATGAGAGGAGAGCCAGCGGCGCCGGCGTGAGAGCGTCCAATCCGGGCAGGCCATCAACCCTCGTCCTCCCTCAGCTCGGTGGGCAAGAACTTGTACTGCTGCTGTCGGATCTGAGCCAGCTTCTTCCGGGCTTCCTCCAGCTCGCGCTCCTTCCTCAGCATCTCCTCCTGAGCCGCAATGATCTGAGACCGACGGCAAACAACTGAAACTGCTGCGGTGTGGATGGCTAGCTCCCATTGATCCATTTTTGACATTTCACAATATCCCGATCAAACAAGAGGTAGACAAAATGGACATGACCATTTCACATTTGCCAGTTAACTTTGGGGTTGTAGGCAGTGGACATCTTGGGACTAGCTGCCAGCCAATCGTATATGCGCCAACTGAGCGCTTCGCAACATTTTGCTAACATTTAGCATGACGTGCTAAGGACAGAGTTCCGTTCATAACGGTGACGTAAGCCTTTAATATATTGTCAAACCGCGCTCTATTCTATCACTCTATCCTACCCTAACAAATATGGCAAATATTGGCATGACAAACCCCTTCTACGCCATCATGTTTGGTTGCTTCCGCGATAGTGATCGCGCAATGTTAGCCCATGATATATATATATTTTTTTTAAGAATGTTAATTCATTTTGAGATGTGACAATCTTCGACAATCATAAAATCCTCATACAATCATACTAACATTTTTTAACACTCTTGAAAGATAGTTTGAGACATTTTAATGCCAATTAAGGCCTTCCTTTGATATTAATGTATTCTTTGAAGACTTTTTTTGTGGATTTGCGGGAACCCTGATAAAACAAATGGAAAAACAGTAAACACAGTGGGAACTCAGTGTTCCCTCTTGTGCCCCATGACGACATACTTCAACATTGTAGAAAATAACCTGGTTCATTCTGCCCAGTTCGTGACCTACAAACCTCATCTGTTCGTACCGTCGTAAAATGAGAAACCCCTGTTTGTAAATTTCATAGAATTGAGAAGGATAGATCTCAAGTGGCAAAATGCTCATTATTTTCATAAAACAAGAAGTAATCAGGAACTTGTGTCTCGCACCGCTACATTCTTGTAAGAAAAGGCTGCACTTGGGTCAAAGTCAAAAGCACCACAACATCAGCGTCAGTGTTTCTGATTTTTCATCACAATTAGTTCTTATCTCGTTTTGATTTCAGTTTTTCAATTCAGTTAGTTTTAATTAGTCTTTGGAGGACGTCTGTTACTTTTCTTTTTTTTTTTGTAAATGCTTCATTTTAGTTTCGTTTTTATTAGTTTTAGCATTATTATTATTATTTTTTAAATATATGGATCATTTGATGAGTGCAAGATAAAAAAAAAGTCACTCGATATTGTGTACTAAAATATACAAAAAATGATCAAACTGTTTGACCTCTTCCTTCTGCGCAGATGCACAGCAATACCAAAATATATAAATAATTTCACATATTTTAAGTCAGTTTTATAAACATAAGATATATTTTCAGTTAGTTTTCTTTTTTTTGGAAATTATTTCACTTTTATTTAAGTTCGTCGACAAAAATATTTTTCCAAATATTGTTTTGCTTATTTTTTTAATTTCCACTAACTGCAATAACCTTGACAAGCATATCTGTATATTGAAGTACCTGAGCAATGCCTCCAACAAATTTGGTCTTCACTACCACACTGTCATCCTCTGTTTTGTCAAAGGCTGCTTTCTGGGCCGCCCTCACCAGGTTGTCTGAGGCTCGCTTCACTGCGTTGCCAGCAGCCTTCAGGAAGAAGAAAAGAACACGTGCCAGTATTAGTATGCACACCCTTTATGTGGCTCCAATCTTTGTCGCAGCATTGTCCTACCTGTAGTCTCTTCATGGCCTCGGAATCTTGGTCCGCCTTCACTTTGCAGGCCACCAGCAGCTGAGCTGTGGAGGCCGCCACCTGCTTGGCTGAACAGATGAGCTTCTCCTCGCTGGCGTGGCCCTGCACGGACGCGTTGGCCGCCTCGCACAGGTTACTGGTGGCCGCGGCAACCATGCGGGCCTAACGCAAGTGACATGCAAAAAGCTCATGCACAATAGATTCCGCGTTCGGTTCTGTATGACTGATCGTAAGACAACAGCACTCACAGCCGATATGAGTCCTTGCGACCACTGGCCGTCGTCCACGGCATTGGCTAAAATGGATCCAACCTGAGATTGAGGGTAAACAAGTGATGCCCAAACACTGCAATTTTATCCAGTTTGATTTATTTTGTCCAAAAATGATCACAAATACAATATCTTTTTTCATCTCGAACTAGCGACAAACAGTATTGCATTGATTAACGGCTAGTCATTTAAACCAGCGGTCCCCAATCTTTTTTGCCCCACGGACCGGTTTAATGTCAGACAATATTTTCAGGGACCGGCCTTTAAGATGTGATGGATAAATACAGCAGAATAATAGGATACGAGCTGCATGAAAACTGTGGTATTTTCGTAACATAATAATAAACACAAATCATGACACGAGGAACGTCCTATCTGACCGCAACGCTCTCTGGTCGCTATGGTAATGTTTAATCATGCCTTCAAAATATGATACGTTGCAAATACAAAGTGCATGAAAAATACAACTCACCATATTTGAGATTCCAAAATAAATAAAACAGAAGTAATGTAAGTGTTTTATTCTTTCTGTGCGGCGCGGTACCAAATGACCCACGGACTGTTACCGGTCTGCGGACCGGGGGGGTGGAGACCGCTGCTCTAGACCGCCTCAATCTGTGGCTTTTAGCTTTATCAAGTTTTTGAAACACTGGTGTCAATAATACACCAGTGTGCCCCCACACAACATCAACATCAGCGACTTTGAAGCTTCTTGGGTGACGTTTGACTGACCTTGCCCTGTGCCACCAGCTCTCTCTGGGCTGCTGATGCAGACTTGACAAGAGCGCTGGTCGCTGCTGCGATGGACTTGGCTGCTTCAAGAATCTGCTCCTCAAAATCCAGCGTCTCGTCAGCCTGCTGGAGGTTAAAGAAGAGAATAAATTCAGACAAAGATACCTCATTGTACAAGTACTTCCCAAAAACACCACACAGGGCAACAAATGAAAATTGCAATGAGATCAAAATAGTAAATGGTGTGCATGCTGATGTCGTGCTTTATCTACCCAATACGGAATCCAAACAGCTATACAAAGCCTCATTCAGTCTCGATTTGAAAATATATTTGTGTATTGACCCAGAGTGGACACCAATGTGTTGTACAGCTGCACATTCATAATTTTGTACTGATTCTTTTTTTAAAAAGCCCCCAAATTCTAAAACTATGTAATCTAAGCCTGAACCTCATTGTCCTTACTAGCATCGAAAGCCATATCGAAAATATTTTCCCTTAAAACACAAAAGTGAATATGACTTTGAATGACCGCACAGGACCTGAACTAACCACGAGCAGTTCAGTAACAGTCAAGGAAAGGTCACATGATTGTGCACCTGAACGCTCCAGAAACACAAAAGGCACAGGTGGCAGGAGACATGGCGGGACACTGTAGGAATATGTTTGATACATAGTTGGACTGAATAACAACCTAATATATCAAACATATCAGACAGAGCCCTGCAGAGAAGTCCTCCAGGTCTACAAAGGCTCTGAGAGGGGCTCGGGAGGTAAGGAGACATGCATGCCGGGGTGGGAGAACCAATCCTCCGCCCGCCCACCCCCATCCTCGCTATATGACGATGGATGAGGAGCGGGAGTAAAGAGGATTAAAAAGGTTTGATGGAAGCGACACTGCAATGAAATTGGGGCGCGATTTTATGGCGTCGTTTGCTCTTGAAATGACACAGGAGTTGCCAGTTGATTAGTTCTGCCTCTGCACAGAAGCATTCGGTTAGAACTAACACACACGTCAATTAGAAGGATTCAAATTCAATTAAAACATGATCTTGATTTGAAAGGACAATCAGTAGTCGGGGATTAAATTGGGGGAAACGACTAGCGGTATTTCCCTTGCTCAATTTTCTTTGCATGCATCAAAGGAGATCACTAGAGGGAGGCACTGACATCTACAAGAGGGGAAAAGCCTTCTCACTAATCTGCTTTTTATAGAAAAAAACATAACACACACACACACCAAAAAATAAAAAATAAAAAAAGCAGAGACCTGGTAATAAATGCCCTCATGGCATTAGAGTATGAGACGGAGCATTAGGGTTTTTATTAAAAGTGGGCTGACCTAAATATGCGATCCTTCGCATGACACAGACAGGAGGTTGATCTGACAATTACTGAGTGCACTGGAAGAGGTAAAGGGAAGCAGGAAAACACAAAGGGGAGATGCAACAGGGATTAAACTACCCCCCCGCCGCCCCAAAACAAAATCCACAATCATGATGTTGAGCGTCACACACAAACAACAGGATTTAATCACCTCCCATCTATTTCCCCAACCAGTAAAGTCGGCAATACCACAGTATCGGAGTGAAGAACACTCAGTTTAATTTTTTAAATGAGAAAAACTGTCATAAAGTAAAAAGGAAATACGTTTCATCCGACCGAGGCCCTCTCTTTAGCGAGAAAAAAAAAAAAAAAAAGGGGTCACGACAGTCCATCGCACCCTTTTAAACCAAGTTCAACTTAAGCTCGAGGACCCCGCGGGGTAATTATGTCTCCTGGCAACGGAGCTCAAAATACCAAAGTCCAAGAAAGTTTACAGAGGACCAGCTGTGCGCGCCGGAACAAAGAAACATTTCATCTGCGGCGATAGCCAGATAGCGGCACGGAAAAGGGAAGACGGTGTCACCTTTTCCTACGATGGGGGCAACGCGGCTCCCTGACGATTACTCGCAAAAAAAGCCGTATGTGCGCGCCAGGGTGCGTGGGTGGAAAGGGCCGAGAAGGGCGCATCTACCTTGGGCTTGGCTCTGGGCTTCAGCTGCTCGAGTTTCTTGGCCGCGGCTTCAATGGACGCCGCCGCTCCGAGGAGCTCGCTCTCTGCGATGACAGTGGGGTCCTCGGGGTCTACACACTCTGATCCTGAAAGGCACCGGCACATGTTTTTCTTTTGACTGGCAAAAATACAGCTTCCGCTGAGAACCCTTTTTTTTTTTTTTTTTTTTTTCCGCCACGCATCACAACTGATGCTCGACTTTGCGCGCTTGCTGCGGTTCCTCAAAGTAAAATAAGAGAAACTAAAGTAAGTGATTCATTTTTTTTGATGGGCCTTTTTTTTTTTTTTTGCAGAGGTCAATAAAACGCAGCACTTTGGGAACAGCTTGCTAAGGCAGATGGGAACATGTTTTCCAAGATTACGTTGAGCTCAGGGGAAATCTGCCCTGCCCTGCCCCCCCACACCTTTCCAGCCGTCTCTACTCCTCGACCCCCTTCAGACTCTATGAAAGCTGATCCGGGAAAACAAAACACGCCATGGCGCACTTACCTCCATCTGAGGCGGCATGAGGGAAGAAGAGGGGTGAGGGAAAGAGAGAGCACATGGGATGTTAGAAAGATAAAGTCGATAGCCCCAGCGCGTCTCGCTGTACACGCCGAAATCTAATTCTCATTCAGACACAATCTATTACTGCTGTCAAGACGCAGCGGCGCGGCCGACATATTTGTGTCATAACCACAGCTGAGCTTAATTTGGAGGAAATTTTGCAGCGCAACCAATGTTTGGTCCAATCTAAAGAATCTAATGTGATTGTAGTGACCCGACTCAGACGGATTGCGGTGCATCTCTCACGCTTTGTAACATTCAGCGATATTATTCAGGCGCGGAGGATTTAGCGCTCCTTCAACTTAATCGCTTACATCTCTGCAATCCTGTTTCTGAAATTGAATTCATAATGGGGATCTTTGAGCAGATTTGCCTCGCGGTGTTGATGATGTCTCACTGTCATACAAGAGTCAACATCTCGGGAGTGGAGACAAAACAGCTGGAATATGAAAGGCCACAATTGTGTGAGTGTGAAAGCATACAGCACGTATGCGTCAGGCGGCCTCACCTTTCATGGCCTCGGCTGTCTGGATGAGCTCCGTCACACATGCCGCCACATGCTTCGAATGGACGGCCAGTTGATGCTTTTGCTCCGATGTGGGCCTCTGCAACACCTGAACACACGGTGCATAAGAGCAGAAACACAAACAATATAAAAACGGGTTACCATTATTACTACATTCATATAAATATATTCATAAAGTACACGAGTCAACAACACCACAAGGTGCTTTTGAGACTTCTGCATTCCAACCCCAAAACGTTGCACTTTTTTTTCCATTGTACATGTAAACAGCAAACTATGTGAGCTTGCTGACGAGGTGAACAAAACAAGCAGAAATGCTGGCAAAATCTACCCGTTTTTTTTTCCCCCATATTGGAGGTCGAGGGAGTGGGGGAGGAGGGGGCGGGGCACGTTTGCCACTTGCTCTCAACTGAAAATAACTTCACAGTGCCTCAGGGCTCAGGTGACGACCAATTCGGGCTCAGTTTGCGAAGGTCACATGGCCAAACGCAGAAAACAGGTGAGCCGTAATTGGCCGTTACCTAAGCCCTTAGCAACTGTGATGTCAACCGACAGCACGTGGTGAATTGTCCGCCCCCGAGATGGATCAACACGAGTGGATTTTGCTGCTGAACTCAATTTCCACAAATGCCATGTTTGGACTGATCTGCGAAATGTGCGCCACCGAATGCAGCACAGGGCCACCTGTCATCTAAAGCAGCAAGTACATCCAAATTTCAAATGTGACAGTCTCATTCCAACCTGTAGGACTTGTTCCAAAAGGTGGACATATCCAGTGGTGCATTCGGAGCCATACTGCAGGGCCTTGCTTTTCACGTCCTCGCTCACTTCTGGGTGGTGTGCCGCTTTCTGAGTCGAGAGAGAGAGAATAAAGGATTCTGGGAATTTCAAGGAGACCAAAATAAATGGCTCCCAGTGGGATGTCGCTCGGCTCAAAATATCAAGTAGAAAATGTGGACACATTTTTTTTTTTTTTAAATCAGCAGTAATATTTTACAGCACTTTTCAGGATATCATTGTTAGTAATAGTGTGTGTGTGTGTGTATGTGTGCGTGCGTGCGTGTGTGTGTATATAAAAGGTCTCATTTGGTTTACAACCTTGCAGGCTGTCAACATATCAGAAACAGATTTGCGGCTCAGGTTGGCCATGGCGATCACGTCCTCTTGCTGAGCAGAGTTGCCCGCTGCCACGGCTTTGGCCGTCGCCATGGTGATGCCCTTTGTCATGCGGATAAACTCCTCAGGTGTGGTGGACTTGTCCGGCACGTCCTTCGACAGGAACACCTGCGATGGAGACACATCAGAAATGCTCTTGTGTGAAACTCCAGAAAAACAAAACGTACAAACAGAGGAGAGACATAAAAGTGATAGATACAAGCTCCCTCTGAGGCCGTTGGCAGTACGCTAAGGATTTGGGGTGATTTAAAATTCTCATCAATGGGAGCTTTAGATTTGTAAAAGTCCCACAATGGCTGTGAGAAACAGAAGAGGAGTGGAGTCGTTTGGTTCCGACCAATAGACACAAAATCTCCCTGACCCGCTTGAGTGCGAGGCTTGGTTTCATCACCACAAAAGAAGAGTTCCGGCCTGTCAGGCAGTCTTACTGTCAGCTCCTGCTTGATGAACTCAATGGTGGCCTCCAATGCCCTCGTCCCACGAGTGGCTTCATCCTCCACTGCCTTCACCGTTTTCAGAAGAGACGTCACGTTGGTGACCATGACCTGCCAAATAAAGCCAGTCAAGCGGATGAGGCAGTCAAACCAGGAGGTGGCGCTCTTTCTCCTTAAATACAAAACAGCCGTCAAATATAAAAACAAGTGCTCACAAAATAATTGGTCTGTTTTTTTTTTTAATTGGTTTTTGTTTTGTTTTTTTGCTCGTTGAAGGCGCTTATTTGGTTATGCTGTAATTGCACAGCTGATAAAGACATAAAAAAGACAACATAATTCAGCAAGCATTCATAATACTTTTAATTCAATGATACCCAATTTGAAAGAAATTATTTTTTCCTCATGCTGGCACATTTTGCACAAGGCTCTTGGTGCATTCCGCAACAAGAGCCTTACAAGGTTAGTAATGCGAGCAAATAAATGCACAGCAGGACTTTCAGAGGGTCCCGTGTTTGGGGTCACCATATGCTGCAAGAATCTGTCAATGGTACCAAAAATCCTGGGTGGCCCTCATTCCATGTAAATGCAAAAAAATCACGAGAAACCATATGCAGCAGTTAAAGTTACATTGAGGAAGTTTCTTGCCTGGGTTGTTCAATGCACTGATAGCAATTGTGAGAGTACTGAAAGACGACTTTAACAGTGTTGAATTGGATGAAGAGGAACAACAGATACGGTAGCCACGCGCTCTACGGGCCTTGCATCTTTTACCTTGGCGGCGCCTTTCAGCTGATACATGGACGGGTCGTCGGCAGCCTTGCCCGCGGCACACTTGGTGGCGCTGATGAGTTCGGCCAGTGCCTTGGCCACGTCGCGTACTGCGTTGATCAGAACCACCTGAGGAGATGAAGCTGGGATCAATAAACCACAACGGGGCGAGCTCAGGCTCATCAGCGCTAGCCTGGGGACGGGATTTCCTCATGTAGCATTTATCATCCCCTAAACTGACTGGGGGAGATGAAGTTGGACGTTAATGGCCAATTGGGACTCCTGGCAGACTCTCGCTTTGCCCCTCTTCTTGGTTTGTCTGGTCGTGTTTCGTTCTTTTAATCAGGTTGGTCCATTGTCTGTTTTCTGCCAATCAGCTTCTTAACCCTTTCATGCACCTTGTAACCTGATAACACGGTAAGCTGTCCACTGTAGTAACCGCTGTCCCTGAAAGGGTTAACAACCCGTCTTATTTTCTTGATGAGTGTGACCCCAATCAGTTCCTTCAAACCAGGATTATCCGTTGTCTCTTACAGTTTGTGTCTTATTTATTTTATTTATTTTTTTAAATAGTGCGACTACTCAGTTCTTTGAAAAAAAATTACATGAGCTTTCTGTTTTCCTTCTCGACGGTTATCAGCTCCTTTGCTGCCCTTGTCTCCCAACTGTGTCTTTGTGTTTAGGCTTTGTGTTTTAGTCGATCTTTGAATGAGTTTTTCTCGTTCCATGAGCCTACCTCTTACCTCCCTGCCAGATCTTGTGTCCCTTACTTATGTCTCATCTTTGCTTGTCTGCCCTTGGGTCATTCCTCTGTCTCTGGTTGAGTGTGTCTGGTTTTTTTTTTTTGGTTTTTTTTTCTTTGCCTACGCTTGTATTGCTCATCTGTCTTGGGATGAATCTGACTGTCTTTCTTTCTTTTTTAACCAGGTTTGCTAGATTACTGTGTGTCCTTGCCAAAAGCATTACATTTGGGAGCAGAACAGAAAGCACAGTATATGTTTGTGCAATGATATCAAATGAAGCAAATTGACATGCTTTACGGGTTACCTGTGTCTCGGGGTCCTCAGAGCCCATGCTCGTCGCTCCCAGTTTGACCACCTCTGTGAGCTGGGTGATGGTCTTAGCTGAGGACTGGGCAGCCTGGGCCAACTTCTCTTGGCTGGATGCGGCTCCGGCCACCAGGAGCTTGGTGTCCTCCACCAAGGCCTTGGCTGTCTTCAAAATGCTTTCCCTGGGAGAAGAGGTGCGTTGTGTTTCTGTCAGCACAGTCATTACATTCAGGAATATAGGCTCGGTGAGATTTGTGGTCAGTTGTCTCTTTCCTTTGGGCACTCTGCTTCTTCTGAGTGAGTCACTCACAAAATAGAGGACCGGCATTTACCGAGAAAACAACAGCGGATGCAATCTCGTTGTTTGAATCCACTTTTAAAAAAAAAATGTACTGTGTGTCCTTATTGCTATGATGAATATGCGCTAAGGTCACAGACACCTGTGGTCAGCAAAGGACTCCTCATTCTCAGGGTTCAGCGTTCCCGCCGAGGCGAACATGATGGTCGTGTCCAGGTCAGCGATGATGCCCGAAACGGCACTTGCCGCTGTGATGCATGCCTGGGTGCCTTTGTTGCCCGCCTGCAGCGCTGACAGTACCAAAGACACCTGCGACACAAAAAGCATCGCATAGCTGCAGAACAATCAAGGGAACATTTCATTCGACAGTCATTATTACACTTCCACGGTTTGGTCCGGTCTGACGCTAAGGCAGCGGCAGAAGAAAATGTGCCTTCATCCATCTGTCACACTATCTCTATCTGTCAATCCATCAATCGAGGTGAGACATATGCATAGTTATCTATTCTGTAAAACACAGGTGTCAAACTCAAGGACCGGGGGCCGGATCCGGCCCGCCAGGTCATTTTATGTGGCCCGCAAAAGCAAATCATGTGTGTCAAATTGATAAAATCTGTACTGAAATATTAAATTTTCATGTGTAATAAATAACGTTGAGATTTCGCAATAATTTTGTTAGCCTGTTTACCCTCACTTAGACAATAATTGATCAAACTATTTTAATCGACTTGAGTGATTTCAAAACCAGTAAATTATTCATTTGTTGTGTACAAGTCATAATTTTGTGGTTTCACTGGCATAATGGCCCTCCGAGGGAAGACGTAATTCAAAAGTGGCCCGCGACTAAAATGACTTTGACACCGCTGCTGTACGACGATTTATTTTGTGATCAATATGACCTTTGAAAATTTTAGAACTAGCAAAGGGGAACATCTAGTCGGTAATATCAGTAATGAGAGACTGGTATTAATGCCCCCAATAAAATGACTTTTTGGGCGGGGTGGTTTTTAATTGAACACCTCGCCGACGGTAACAGTCAAAGCCCAAAGCGTAGAGACACAAATTTTCGCTGGTTTATTGAATCTCATTATTGTGCAAGTGTACTGCAACTGATGAGCGTACAGTTGCTTGGTGGGCCGCCGTATCTGCAATGAGGTACTCCTCCTTGAACTGCGCCAAGTCTGCGATTTAAAAGTGGTTTGAGCTTCGCTTAGTATGATTTTATGTGATGACCGATCGAGCTTCTAATCGGTTTGAACAATTTAGCAAATGCTTAAGAATAGTGTTCCGGGTTGAACTGGATGCAAGGTTAAGCATGCTTGAAATCGGAGCCCAATACAATCAAAGCAAGTTGATGAGCCAGATACCACAACTAGCGTAGGTCTGAACCGAGAGCCTCGAGAGGAATCTTTGAACGAGGCACAAGACTCAAATCAGCAAGTGTGAAACCTCAAATTAATCACGTAGGGTAAGTGCGTTGAATGAAATCACAGTCTTCCAGTGGAATAGAATTAGCAATGTGTGACTGGCATAGCTTGTCATTGCCAGGGTCATAACAGGGACACAATATAATTACTATTCAGTGCGTAGCAGATTCAGAATAACTTTGCTTTCATAACCTGCATTATCGCTGCGGTAAAATCCTTTATTATCACCCAAAATAACATATCGCATTTATATTCTGCTCACCTTTTACAAGATTAAGGCCAACTTTATTACTTACTTGTCAGATGATATAAAGCGCAGACAGTTTCACGTGAAGCGTCATATATCACCGCAATAACAAAGTAAATCATGTGCATTAACTACCAGATTGACTTTCATTAAATTCAGAGACACGTAACATCAGCCGAGGAGGGGAAGCTTTCCTTTTCTCGGCAGATCCAGAAAAAACACAGAAAAAAAAGGGCCACCAATAAAAGAGATGTATCAGACTCAAAATAATTTCAGTTTTGAGTGACCTTGTCAGAAATGTCTTCAATGGACTATTAGTGATATTAGGAGTGGTCTACAACTGATCTTAAACTGGGTTTACAGCTCCCGATTTTCACAGTCCGAGACTAAAAAAGATACGGGAATGCCTCCAGTATCTAGTTGTAGTCTTGTTAATGTGACCCTGAAAAAGTCAACCCTAAAAAAATCTGAGTGGGAAACTAGGCCGTGACTTAGAGCTCTATAACTAGTCTTTAATTAAGGTCTGAGTTTTCCAAGGGTCTTTTCCAAATCTTCTCAAAGTCTGACATACAGGTAGCTTCGCACTATCTTAGCTGGAGGAGCGGTACAACATTTTTAAACCTCCTTTATGCATCGTGCTATCAACTCAAACAGTAAAAGAGTAGCAATGTGAGGAACGTAGCCACTACACCAGCGTGTGGTGGTACCTTCTCGGTGACTGCACGTGCACACTCGATGAGCTCCCTTTTGGAGAAGCTGTCTGTGGGGCTGAGCTGCAAGGCTCCAGCTTTCTGGACCAGGTAGATACAGCCGTGACCCAGCTCCTGGACGCGTGTTCTGATCTGGAAACCAACCTGAAAGTAGAACCAGTCATTGGCTCCCATTCAATCAGGTGCTGAACTTTTCTTTTACCCAGCAGATGGGAAAGGAATTCAAACACTCTTTTCAAGAAAGCTGGCCCTACCATTTCGTTTCTAGGCTGAGCTACATGGGTGGGTGGGTGCTCTTTTGTAAGCGTCACTATAGGCTTTTAGACTTGTCAAGGCAAATGTGTCGCTATGGTAACCAGCAGGGTTCGCAGCAGCCTGTTATGTACAAGTTACTGATAAGAGCTGTGAGCTTATTAGCGTGATGTTTCCACACATGGCTTTCTTGCAAACAGAGGAAACTTTAAAGAAACGATTGTGGGGGTGCTTTGAGTGACAGATGTGGGAGGAGTAGCTTCCACTTTGATCTCAAAGATGGAGAGTCGACCACAGAGCAAACATCCGCCTTAATCGGCATGCGTATCTGAAAGCATTTTGGATCCAAACACCCGTGACTCAAAAGTGATATTTTGGAGCAAACTCTTATAAGATCCCTATGTCGTTCTGTGGAGAGGTACAATGCCCTCTGACCTCTTCATGCTCTGCTGTGGCTGCAGCGAGGCGTCCTTGGTGTGCAAGCTGCCCATAGTCCACAGTCGCCTGAGAGGCAAGGCCGCCGAGCTCTTCGGGGCAGGTCACTGATTTAGTCATCTAGTCAGAGCGGGATGAAGGTAGCCCCATTAGCTAATGAACGTCTGTGAAGCTACACAAACAAAAAGCACTCACCATCTCCTGGGCCGTGATGGCAATGGCCTTGGAGAACTTCACCATCGTTGTCTGGTAGTCCACAAAGGAGCCTTCGGGTTCAGGAGGTGTTCCTTCATCCAGCTTTAAAGATCAAGCACGTCATCAGTTTCATGAAGGGTAATGTCGGTACCCCCCAAAAAAAAGACAAAACTGCAGACTATGATGAATACCGAGTGATAAGAGAACATGGGTGTTCGCAGCCTAAATATTATCCTGAGCAAATATTCAGGGGCCGGTGTCAAAAGCTATTCAATGAGAGTCAAACACAAGGACACATTTCGAGAACACCCGCTGTGAAATTACTCGGACAAATGAGTTTTGGGAATAAGGGCGCAGGCGAAATCCACTTCTTACCCTGCCCATGGCCTCGGCAATGGACTCCACCATGCCCCCAACCATGCCGCCCTCGCTGGCCGCCTCATTCAAAGTCACCATGATGTCATCCACAGCCTCTTTCATCAGCTGGGCTGCTTCGGAGATTGCATCGTGGGTGTGGGACGCCTGGGGATGATTAAAACCAAACATTAGTATGCTGTAGCTCTAACGAGCTAGAGGATTCTTTTTAGGCACTTTTCCATTACAGGTTCCAAAACAGCCTATCAAATGCACAGGAACTTTCACATAGATGAAAAAAAAAATCTATTTCCAGGTTCAAGCTGGAAGGACACAGCCGCCCGCCACCAAAACATTAAATTACAGCATATACGGTACACTTTTTTTTGTGATTTACAACAATACCATATTTACAATCTGATATGTTGAGTTGAGTTGATATGAACCTGCGGATGAAATAAGTGAAGCTTATGGTAAAAATTTTCATTGCATGTTGCCAGGTTAGCGGTCTTGAGTCAATGGTCTATTCAATTAAATCAAATCAAGTCCCACCTTTCAATATATCCCCATTTTTGTAGACCATGTACTCTTTCGGTAGCAAACTGTGTATTCCTTAACTAACATTGTGCAGTGCTGGCCGCCCTAAACATCTTAAAAGACAGGGCACAACTCTCCAAAAATTTGACCAAGCGTCACTTATTTTATCCACAGGTACATATAAAATTGTAAATATGGTTTAGTGTTGTTAGAAACACAATATGTATACTGTATACAGTATGCCATATTTTTGTACTGAATTGTTTGGCGGCCAATTGTCTTTCTTTAGCTTAAAACCAGGCAATGGAAGTGCGCAGTGGAGTTCCTTGTGGTATCCTTAAAGAAACGCCGAGATGTGTCGGCCAATCTGATGATCGTGACGTCACGGCCCTCGTGGGCCTGCTTTGCTAGAACCAGGTTGGAAGAGGTTCTGAGGAACGAGTTCCTTTTCACCTGATGGCCTTGGAAAAAGTGTAATGAAAAAGCGACCATGTAGGGTGGAACCAGTACGATGGAAAAAAAGGCATGTGAGGCTGCTCTAATAACAATATAAGAGAATACACTGCTTCTCTAATAGACTCAAATTTTACATTAGGTAATGATAAAAATGATACATAAGAGTGACACATCTCTGCTTTCACTACTTTGATCCTGCATAAAGGATCTTTCACACACCAAAGACAGACTCTTCCAATTACTGTTAAGTGCATATTGTCTGCATCATTAGAGCAGGGAGTAAGAGCCGCCCTACCTTGAGAGAAAACTTTGAAACAACTCAGCAACTGACTTACAGCTGCACATTAGGCAGAAAGGACATTCATGGATTAAGAGGATCTTCGTTGTCTTCATCCCCAGAGCAGACTGCTCAAGGACATTTGATGCAGCACGGCAAAAACACATCGGGGACTTCTTCACATGAAACTTGGAAGCGGCTACCACCTCTGACTAATTTGAGACCACCTCCTGCTCTAAAAGCTCTGACATCATGAAAACTGGTATTATCTGACTCGTAGTGCTTGGTGGATCAATTCAAATAAGGATGACATCGATGCTGACACCTTGATATTGTAATGCTCGATATTAGTGTTGTACCTTTGGATTGCCGCCACCTTCCTTGGCAGCGTAAAGCATCTGCAGGGCAGACTCTGACAGGGTCTTAGTCTGGTCCAGGATGGTCATTTGTTGCTGATGGTCGTGCAGTTTGGAGGCCAGGCCGACTGATGCCACAATAAGTGGATCAAAGTAGCTAGCCAGCTGAGTCACCTAAGTGAAATAAGGTTAGGAGAGTCATCCGGGAAAAGGATTGTTGAACAAGATGGAGCTCTTATTTATCTAAATCCAGAAGGGATAAAGAGGGATATATTATCAGAGCCGGCACCTTGTGTCCCAGCTGGGCAGCTTCACCCCGGGCGGCTGTGGAGACGGGATCAATCAGATGCCCAATCTCCTGCACGGTTGAAGTCAGCTGTTCCTGCAGTGCCTAGCGAGTTACAAAGACAGAACGAATTGTCGTATAAATCACAACAGAGAGCCTACAGATTCCATTAAGCGTTTTCTCTCGGACAAGACAAGAGCTGATGGGCTGCTTACCTCCATGGAGATATCATCTCTGCAGGGCAGGGTCTGTCCGACTGCAGCCAGGGACGCTTGCTCAATGTCGCGGATACATTTATTGATGCTATCTATAGAGTAATCACACTCTTTCTGTCCTGGTGCTTTGTCCCTAGCGGGGCGGTAGAAAGTTTGGAAAACAAACAAACAAAAAAACGTAGGCACTCTTGTTTCATTTCAGTGTAAATAGCGTCTAAAGGCATTTGACTTTTTTTTTACTCTTTCTCTTTTTTCAAAAGAACTTTATATGTACACAAGGAACTGGTTAGTTGACTGTGATAAAAAAAAAAATCCAAAGCAGCACACGCTGTGGTTATTTTAAACTCTTTTTGTTTAAACCGTGAGACAAGTGAAGTGTGAAGACCACAAAGTGAAGGGCGCTTCGCACTGCCTTTTCGGAGTCCTGTCATCGGCGTGGTTGCTTGGCAACAGAGGAGCCCAGCCGTCTGCTCTCATAAGCTGACTGGTTCGTGGCTGCACCATCACAGTCAATCAACGCAGTTAATTTATATTTGAAGTGAAATTCCCCACACTGTTATAATATTAGCGTAAAGAATCCCAAAGCATTGACTCCAGTCCTTCCGATACTGTGCATGCAGAATCCAAGGATAGAAAACTGATCAAACTAAACTGGACTCCACTATTGATTAAATGCTTTGATTTCCTCACAGCTCTAAACTAACAGTGCAAATTGTCTTTTAATCGTTAAATGCATTGTATCCAAAAGAAAATGGGTGCAAACCAACCTGATGGAAGTGATGAGGCTCTTGATCGAGTCGGAAACCGTTCTCGAGTGACCAGCGAGGATCGACCAAGTGGGGGGATCCTTGGGGTTGAGGACCAACGAGCGGGCCGTTTCTAAGAGGTAAGTGGAGCTATCAAGCATGGAGCGGGCTGAACGAACAATCGGCTCCTGGGCGACCGAACCCTGGAGGAAAAGCCGACATTGGAGCAGGTGAAATAAAAACTCTGGTACAAGGCTAACAGCGAGGATCAAGCTCGACTGGAACGACAGCAACGTTAATATTCCTTCTACCGCGGCGGGAAGATCAGGTGAGCAATCGAACTCAAGGATGAGATTAGAAGGACAGCTTTACGGAAACACAGGGAAAAACACCTTCAGTCTTTATGATCCGAGGCAAAACCTCCCCCGACAATTAGATTAACAAGGTGAAGATTAGAGCAGCAGTAAGGGCGTGAGTGCCGTTAAACACGGCCCTCCAACAGATTACAGCCATAAAGCTTTTAGAGGACGCTGCGTGGACTTTTCCGCTCTGATTGAAAACATAAAAATGTATCCTTGTGATCCGTTTCACAGGAGTAAAGGAAAGGAGAAAATCAACTCAAATTCCCAGCAAATCTACAGCAGTCTTGTTTCACGACTCGCTGTGACATCCTCAGTACGATGTCATTTAGTTGCCGGCATTTTTCGATGAATGGTTACCTCGTTGCTGATTTGAGCTGGGATACTCGCAAAATCAGGGTTGTTGGCAAAGGTAGACAGGTTTTCGACAGCTTCAAGGAGTGGAGCGGTCGCAACTCGACATTTGTTTCTGTTGTCCTCGGAAAAATCTCCATCTAAAGCCTGAAAACGAGACATTCCATATGAACCCGTGACAGTTTTTCCACAGATAATGGCTGTATGGATTGACTCTCATGCAAAGAACTCCTCACGTGATGAAAGAGATTTGGTAACAAATCGGACACTCAACGTTTTGATCAGTTGGGGAGTTGACCTTGATGGTCTTGACCAGGTTGGCGGTGGTGTTGGCCACCTCTTTGGCTGACTGCACAAACTGTCGCCGAGCGACGGGGTTGGAGGTCTTTGACGAAGCAAGGCGGCAGGCATTGCACAAAGCCGACGTGTGCTTCGCTACAATCGTTGCCGCAGACAACACCTGCAGACCCAATGGACACCGGCCAGCGTTATTTACAAGTCGGACACATTTTTATGAATCGTGTCGAAATCAGGGTTGGGCAAACTTTTGTGCTCTTAGGATCAGACAGTTTATCATGCAATGCTCGACAGGCTGGATTAAAGAACAGGAGCAGACGGTCTCGTGGCTCGCCGACAATAATTTGCCCAACCCTGGTCTAAAGTGTGGAATTTCCAACCTGTGAGGGACTACTATTTGGGTCCACTAAGCTCTGACAAGCCATCTGTATGGCTTGGTGGGCACGTGCAAACTGGATGGGGTCTACCAGGCCCTCATAGCCTGACTGACTATTGGGATCAGACACGCCTACAAGATAAGAGGCCTAGAACAGAAATATGGACAAGTTAGAGCAAAATATACGCCCGCGAGAAGACTTTTGAACTCATGTTGTCACAGTGAAGCATCAGACAGCAAATCAAGTGTTATTACTTCTCTACCAATGCAGTAACTAATAGCCCACATCGACGACTCTGCGTGACAGTCAGTGAGCATTTACAAATGTGTGCCAATGCTCAGAGGTGAGTTGAACGATTTTGTGCAATTCGTGCAGCATGCTCCGAAGCATACTTGTTTAATGTCAGGTCGGTTTGTGCTAGCGTGTAGTATGCTAGCTAATACTGTTGAGGAACCTCTTGTGAAGGTGGTTTGTCTGTGTTGCATAATAACTTCTGAAGGCAGTTGTTTATGTAACATGGGTTCATGATTGTGTACATGCTAGAGGTGTGCTGTTGATGCTTTATGATCCACTCCTTTTTAAGAGGTTTGTTGCCGCTTTGTGGAATCTGTATGCGATTCCAAACACCTTTTATGGGGGTGTCAATTATTGAAGGCAGGGTTTGATCCCTATCCCTGGTAAATAGCGAGGGGGTTGCTGTACTTCTTGGTGAAACATGGCATATCTATTGAGAATAAACATTCCCTATAAACATAACACAGAAGTTGAATACAAGATTTCTGCAGAGCAGTCAAGCCGAAGGACAAAATAAATGTACTTTTTGGGTAACTTAAAGGGTAGGATACTAAGATCCAGCTGGAATGGGTGCAAATGTTGCCCTGATCCTTCCAAAGTGCACTAGAAAGCATTTCATTCATAATTAGGAATGGCTTTCTCCTCCATTTTTAAAGTGCGTTTCATGGACAGACATTTCCGACTTGGTTCTTATTTTAAGATGAGTAAAGTGTTTAATCTCACCTGTCCTGCAGCCTCTGTCAGCCCACAGAGGGCCTTGGATGCCACACCGACACACTCCCCAAAAGCCACCACGTCACATGTCTTACAATGCTGCGAGATGCCTGCCATCGACTCTCCGAGGATCTAAGGCATGTCGAAACACAGAGGTTTTTAAAATATCGGGTCTTTATGGGTCTGCTCAGTCACCTTATGCTCAGACTGGTTCGTACCGTAACAGAAATGTACTTTGAAGGCATCTTACCTTTGAATTTTCCATGACACTCTCGATGCAGTCAAAATAGGACAGTTCATTGATGGGCTCACTGGGATTATCCAGGAGTCCTCTCACAGCCTATGCACACAGCCCCCCCCCCCCCACACCCACACACACACACACACACACACGCACACACACACACACAAACATTGTAAAAGGACCTTATTGCCACAAAGGACTTCTTGGTATTCAAGACTTTTTAATGTGCCGCTTTATTATCGTTCTCATTGACTTGTGTAATTGAATCAAGCGTAATGCTGACTTTAATGTTCGTCTGCAATGAATGATTCTGGTGACGTAAGAGAATTGGGGCTGAAAGTCATGCGAGAAATCCATTTCAAGTCAAGGTTGGCATACGGCGTAATGGTATGGAAGGACGGCTACCTCCAATTCCCTCAAGGCGTTGTCGCACTCCCTTTGTCCTGCGGCCTGCTGTGTGCAGAGCGTGATCAGCTGGTTGATACTCTCCGTCACCGCTCTGAAACACATAGGCCACCTTTTCATTTCAGTCACTCACATGCGCCTTCGGCAGCCCTATTCATGCTATTCACTGCAAGAGGCCAACAGCGCATTGCGCAACGACGCACGGGCATGTGCAGGAGTGACAGAATTGTCTCGGGTTTGTGGTTCAGCCTTGCTGAGCGCAGACTGTTTCCAGCCAAGGCTTCCATCTTCCTAATTAGACAGAGAAAAGTCACTCAGGCCCAAAGCCCATCGGGGAGCAGCTGCCTGGCTTCTCTCCACAAGGAGGAAGACGACTCCCTGAAGAAACGCTGAATGGACAAGGTCATATTAAAAAAAAAAAAAAAAAGAAAGCTTTAAGTTTAAATTACGTTTGGGATGTAGGATACACCTGCACAACCATAATAAGATCATATTCAAGAGTTGTACCCAAAAGTGTATACAAGGATCCTTGTATACTACTACCCGAACATTATGATTATCATTCCTACTTGCAGTGGTGTAGAATTGCGCCCTGTCATTCCATTAGATTCAGTTGTATAGTACACAATAAAATGAAACATGCAGTAAATAGCTCACCGTGCTGCGACTGCAAGAAGATTCTTTGCGTTAGCTGCATTGGGATCGACAGACAGAGACTTGGCGGCCAGCAGAAGCTTACTGGATGCCATTGAGATGTTCTTCAGATTACCAATAACTTGGATCTGATCATCCCTGCTCTGCGAAGCCAACAAAAAGAGATATGTTATTTTTGGAGATTGGTCCAAAACTGTATTATATATCTTGTCAAATTTGAGACATGGTATCAACTAGTGAGCTATAGCAACAAACACATATTGGGGCCCCCCCACCAGCCGTTTCCCATCCAAGGCTTATTACAGCTTGAGTATCACGCTACATCAGCTCAGATCCCTGAAGATATTCCCACACTAATGAACAAAATAACCAGAACATGAACGTCACAAGATCTCATTATAGCTGGCTCTTGGCCAAAGCAACATGCTGAAGTAAATTTGATTGATCGAATCATGGAGGGGGAAAAAAAGTAGGTAATAAAGTGACCAAGATAGGACAAATTAGGCTTTGCCATTTGGGATTTTTTGACATTTGGGATTTGCAGTCTTTGCGTGTAAAATGCGATGACAACAACATCCTCACTCGACTGTTCAGTGGCGTTGTACGATGACGAAACCTACTTGGGTGTGTCCTGCCATCTCGACGCCAGCATCCAGGAACTCATCAAAGTCTTGGCTGAACTTCCCGGAAGCGGCAGCCAACTGGCTGCTCGTTCCACGGGAGGAGTGAACGACCTCGCCTGCCGAGTGGTTGAGCTCAGCCGCTGTATGGTTGAGATCCGTCTGAGCTTCCTGCAACGTCTTACTGCAGGGGGGAAGCTTCAAAGACACATCGAAAAGGCCATCGTGGAGATGCCATTATTGGATAAAATAGTAAATTAAATGCGATCACGGTTCAATAAGGAGGTCAGACCCTTTAAACATGAACAGAAATTCAAGAAAATCGGAGCAGGCCTCACAATGTCTACCAGCAACTTCTTGCTGGCTTCTCCGATGCTCCTGAGAGCCATGTCAACGTCCTTCTGGCCCGGCAGGCAGTTCACGCAATTATTCAGCGAGTGCGACACAGCTTTGGCCACCTGAAAATACGCAACAATCAGCCGTCACTGGGCTACCATAAGTCATTCTAAACAATACGCCACATAATGCAGGGTCCCAGAGAAATGCTGTGAAACATCTGAGATGCAAACTGGGATCATGGTGGAAAGTAATCTGCGTCATTAATTTATGTAGCCGTCGCAGACAAATACTAGTGGTGTTTATTCCCTGGAGGGCCGCAGGGCAATGTTTTACTCTAGCAGTCCTGAAAAACACGAGGCAGGTGACGCGGAATGAAAATAGCGACACATGGGCGAATGATTGCTGTGGCAGGGAGAAATGTTCACAGTTGAGAGGGGATTGCGACTGACTTCTTGGAATAGTTCTATGACATTTGAATTTGATTGAGACTGGGATCGAAGACCGTTGAGGCGTGTTTAATATTAAAAGTACGAAATTGGTGCTTAAGTGAATACAAGTCACTTTATATGCGCTTCCCAGGATGGTCGTTGTAGTAAAGATCTATCCTCAACAGTTAACGTTATGCGTATGACACCCAAATTGACCCTGAAACAAAAATCTGTCAGAGTTTAGACTTCATCTGTTTCAAACTGAGTGAAAGAGGACATTAATGGCCCTTCGCAAGAAAACAATAAATGTCCATCACCCAGACATACTTTGTCATAGCCACAGATTAAAATGTCACTTGTGACAATTTGACTCTCAGTCCTTCCGTGCCATCGTCTACTTCTCGAACATGCACTTTCTCCTCGCAGCTCCAATTTTCCTGAATGCAACATACTTATAGCTGCTCTGCCAATGGCTATTCCCGAGAATCATCCTGGCATCCCATTGGCTAAGAACGACCTCTACCACATGAGTCAATGTGTGTCGATAGAATGTGTTTATGCAGCGTCCTAGTCATTTGCCCCTCGGGCCATGAGGTGTTCCGATAGTTTTACGTAAATGTGAATCACCCAGAAAAGGTGTTCACCCGTTTGGCGATCGCTCACTATGCTGATGTTTGCTTTGGATATTTTCGAAGGATTGTTAAAAGCCGACAAAAGCAAATGTCCTTGGATCAGTTCTTTTACAGAGAGTGACTTTCTTCTGAGAGAGAACATGGACAAAGAGGGCAAAAAAACAATGAGGACGCAGGTAAAAGTTAAATGACCATCATGTTGATTCTTTATATTCTTTGTTTTTTTATATTATGCACAACTCTCGTTTATTGTGCTATAATCTAATTGTAACATGTATTTGTTACATATTTTGAAGCATTTTTATGCTTTAGAAAACATTTATGTCTGAATTTTGGGGGGGCTTGGAACGGATTAGGACATTTAGATGGAAAACGAGTCTCTACATACAAAATTTTCTAGTATAGAAATTTCTTCCGGAACCAATTAATTTCGTAAGTAGAGGTACCACTGTAAATTTATTCGACTAGGAAATGATGAATACAATTGTCAACAAATTGACAACTTACAGATATCCATATGCTCTGTAGGTTCAGCAAACCAAGGTATTTTTCTATTTCCTCTGTATATCATTGTATTCCCATGAATACATGTTACCATAAATATATATGGCCAGAAAGCTGCTTCGGATGGAAAGTGCACCTTTGATAACCTCTACTTAGCATTGGTTTTATATTCAATGACTTGTTGAAACCGAGATACAAGAATGTCATATCACCCTACGCGGTTTTCTACCTGAGCAAGTCGCTGCTGACTTTCCGCATCTCCTGGATGTACCAGGGCCTGGTGGGCCTCATGGATTAGCATGGATGAGCCCTCCATGACGCAATGGGCGGAGTCTAGCATTGCAGCTGCGGCCTGAGGCTCTTTAGTGCTGGCTGCGACACCTCTGGCTGCTTGTGCCAACGTCCTTAATGCCTGCGCCGTTTCTCTGGCAGCCACACCTGTAAACAAAACAGGTGCGTGAGGGAATCACAGCAATGTCTGTTCAAGAATTTGCGGCAGGACATTTCAATATTTTGCTATAATGACACCTGGAAGTAAAAGACACATTCACTAGCCACAACGGACGTGATACTGGCATAGTAGCTAACAGAAATAAAATACAGACGCTCCCTCTGGAGACCATTTGTCATCCATACAGGCATGTGGCAGGCGTAAACACCATTTATCCACGTTATGAAACTCACAGAATCCGGATCTGTCTGTCTACTCAATTTTGAGTGTAATTCAGAATCCGGTGCTCAATTAATGATGATTGTTCTGTTACCCTCCAAACTGGAATATATCATTCACTCAGATCAGGCATATTTGATTTAAATACATCCTTCATTTATAATGACATTCATTATTTTTGATGAGCAATAGTTTTTATGGTTGATAGGCTTTAACTAAGACACACGGAGGCTGGTGTTTTCCTATTAATTCCCCAAATCACGGCATTCTGCACATTGGGGGTTTGCAACGCCACAAACAGAACATAATAAAATGCTCTCTTTGTCCAAATAAATCAACCGTTATTATCAACATGGTCTCACATGGGAGAAGCTCCTAATGTATTATACATACTAAAAGAATAGCAGAAAATTGCACCAAATTGCTTGAACCAGCCAAGAGGAGCCATTCACTGATTGAATGTTAAGTCTCGTGAAAATAAGATTAATGAGTAGCCAGAAGCACCCCAGGCCACAGCATGATGAGCTGCCTGTGAGCATTCATTGTTATAGGAAAAACATTCTGGAAGACCTCATGCCTCCTCCGAGAGCCCCGTTGGCCCTGAAAAAAAAAAGGCAAAGCAGTCGCCACATAATTCTAGCTAAATGAAAAAAAAAAGAAACGCGGTATAATCCTCTCTTTTGGCATTTTGACATTTAGACAGAGTGATTATTTTTAAATGAAACTCGAATACACCTCTCTTACCTGTATAATGTTCATTGCCTTGAGCAGCACAAGTCAGCAGTTGGGCCATGGAAGAGCCCACAGCCTTCGATGTGCTTCCCAAATCCTGTGCACACTTCTCCAACTGCGCGAACAGCGGGCCGCGCAAAAATCATCTCAATTAAACTGGGATGACCCCATTGCGTGGTTTCAACACTTTACATCTTTACAATACGACTTCAGTGGGCTCACCGATTCCCCGGGGAGTGGTTTGAGTTGGCTGTCAATGACGGACATCTTGGCATCCTGCAGCTCACATTTGAGTGTCTGAACCGTTTTGAGGGCTGAGTCAATCTCCAGTGGACCGCACGCTTCATGGGCCTTTAAAAAAATACACAGATGGAGCTGTTAGTTGCATGCAGCCCAACCAGCTAGGATGCCATCACGCAGGAAAAAGTTGAGCTTATTAGCGCTGGATGAGGTCAGGAGACTGAGCACATTGAAGTGGTGCTTGAGAACAATACGCCAACATCATGCTTGCATCAGTCAGGCGACTTTTTAAAAACACGTGTCGTGGATAGGTACCTTCTGGGTGGCTGTTCTGAGCTCTGCCAAGCAGGTTGCCAGATTCTTTGCACACTGACCCAGTTGCATAGCCGCAGCTTGGTCAGCCACCGTCGGAACGGCTGACTTCACGGACACCACCATTTTACTTCCAGGCTGAAGCAGAGCAGGACATCAATCACACATCATTACTGTAAGCATCGAAAGAGTGACTTTTCATGATGTCACTATGCAAAGGGGAAAATCAGACCTGCAAGAAACTCTGGCTAGCCATGATGAGGGCAAGCTGGGCTCCAAGCTCCTCGGGTTGGGCTTGGCTGCTTCTCATGCCTTGCACCAACTGAGGAATGCTATCTGCGACTGCCTGCATGAGCACACGGTGCATGATTGTTAGCTAAAGCATAAATTTCTCTTACACCAAGCAAAAAACAAAAACAAAACACAATTAGGTCTCCAAGTATCACAAATAAACAGGAATATCATGTTGTAGAAATATTCTTTGTATTTTCTCTGAGAGGCCGGCAATATAAGGTACACAGACAGTCCTCAAATAGGCCACGCTCAGCTTTTTAGCGCAGAGCAACTTCCCGGAGTCTTCACGGAGACTTCAGGGTTGTCTACCGCTGACGAAGCTTCTGTGAGAGAAGCGAAACGTCCTTTTTTGTTTTTTTTTTTTGTTTTGTTTTTTGTTTTTTGTTTTTTACCCACAGGTACAGATGACGACTGACAGAACCCTTTCTACGAAGTATCACTATAATGACCAACATTGAAATACAGCAGCGTAGTTGGCCAAACTATTTGTCAAATACGACACAGACACTGTATTCCTAAAGTTGAAACATTACACGGAAAAAGATGACATTTTCCAAGAATCAAATCCATATTTCATGAGACGAACTTCAAATTACACAAAAATGGAGTCATAATATTACGAGAGGGAAAAATATTTGTGGCAAAGTTGTCATGTTATGGGAAAAACAACACCCAAGGATTTACAGGAATGAAGTCAAAATCTAAAAATACTTTACGAGATTAAAAACACAATAACACAGGAATTATACAAATTCACAACATCAGAAGTGAAACGGCGGAAGTAACCAAAGCATGCCTATATAGTGTGTTCTACGGCAATTAAAAAAAAAAAAAAAAAAAACATGGGTTGGGTTTAGGCATCAAACTGACGGGGGGATTTTAACCGAACAAAAAGAAGGGTGACGTTCATACCTTGCAGCTGTGTACAAGCTGTTGGTGTGAGACTGTATTTTTGTTGGAAGCCGCGGCATTTTGCGCAGCTGCAATTGTTTGAGTAGCAGCCGCCGCCGCCTGCTTAGCAGCTATCTGCACAAGTGACACAAAGATTACTTGAGTTAATAGAAAATGAATGTTAACAGAAAAAGTGCCCCGTAAAGGGCTTCACACCGTGCTGTCATGTAAGCCGAAGCTGTTGTATCTAACTAAGCGACGCAGTCTCCCAAGAATTTAGTAGGAAATCTCCCAGACATGAGAGAGATCCATTTTCGACAAATACTGGGTGGTTAGATTTTCATCTGAAATCTTACTGAATACTCACGAGAACAGGCTAAAAAAAAAAACACCAAATGGAATTGAAATAAGTGTGTGCTGTCAAGCGTTTTGTTTCACAATATAATGAGCACTGCTTTTGTGCTGCAGTTTCCCTGTTCTTATATCTGCTTCTTAGTTCACATTAATTAGTTGTCACCAGCTTTGAAGTGATGACAGAATATGACATCCCACTCTGAGGTGATTTGGAGGCGAGCAGGCTTAATTTATTCACGGTATAACATTTACACACACACAAACACACACACACGGCTGAAACATATACATGGCACTTTCTTCATGCCGACACAAAGTGACCATTAGCACTGTGATGTACGACGCCTGATCGCTGGAGCAGAAGCGGTATAACTCATTAGGGGTGATCTGATGGCTCAACGCGGGTTTTGACAACCATAAAATATATTCTTGGCTGTTAATGTGAGGTTGAGGTTTTTGAGCTTGCGTCTTTTTGAGCCTGGAATTTTTCTATTGCAAGGACGGAGCATGTAGTGGGGGAAGACAGGCAAACAAGGAGATGCAAACATGCTGACACGTTTGACTCACCTCCAGCCTGCTGACTAGCTTTTTCTTTATTGCATTTTGAGCGGCGGCATTAGTGGCGACACGCAAACCCTCAGCTGCTTCTCGGAGCCTCTGCTGCTGGTCTTCATTCTCCGGGTAAGCAGCTGCCCCCTGAGGGGGCACATCCACATTTAAAATTAAGCTTTGGCTCCCTATATGACAGCTTGAATCAGACCCGGTCAATAAAAACAAACACGGTTATCACAGCGTCACAAGAGATGCTACCGTACGAGGTTGCTTTCTGATTGAAGGCCAATGATTTCCTATCCTCAGTCGTAACAGCAGGGATGTGGCAATTAATGCACTCGTTAAAAATGATCCATAAGCAGCATTTCTCCTGCCGGGGTGTCTCACTATGATAATATCCTGCTCAACAGGACCGGGAGCTGACTTGGGAGCCATGGATTCTGCACCCTTTTAAATGGGGGAAATATGATGGCAGGCGGTGTGTGTGCGCAGCTATGCCAAAAATATGCAGTCAATGAATGAAGGCAATACAGCAACTTCATTTAGCTCATATTTAACAGTGAATTCAATATAGCATTATGGGCCATAACATCATTAGAGAGAAAAAGGTTATTGTTTTTCATTAGATTTAAGATGATAATGTGAGCCGTGTTTTCATTAGGTAGCTATATTTGGAAATGAAATTAGAAACATGTAAAAGTGATGAAAATCGAATCATCAAGCAATAGTAAGAAAAAAAAAAAGAAAAAAACATTTTGTACCTTAGCTGCCTCCACCATTCTAGCTGTGGCGTCAGCTAGCAGTTTAGCTGCGGCTAATAGCTTCTTGGAGTTGTCAACATCCACTTCTGCCTCGGCGTCAGATCGCATGGCATTGACCAAGTCAGAGGTGGCTTGCGCTAGAACCCGGGCCTGGCGCACCATCTCACCTATTAGCACAAGAAAGGAAAAAAAGTCACATTTGTACCAAGTCACTGTCGGATAATAGTGGAAGTCAATCAAAATAAAATCGGTATTCATTCTTTATCTTATCACGACATTTTGGACAATTTTCTTAGTTTGGGAAAGGTCTTTTTCTGTTCCAGCAAGACTGTGCTCAACAAAAGAAATCAAGGGCCATAAATGCATGCTTGGATAAATTTGCGTGGAAGAACCCTGACTTCAAGTTAACAATCCTCTCGCTCAACATCAATGACCTCTGACATCACAATTTCTCTCCTGAATGTTTTTTTTTTTCATTTTTACATATAGCTGTCATTTTTACACTCATGGATACCGATTTGCTACAACAAACGAGTATGATCCCGCATTATTTTCCGGCACCGACCACCCCACCAATAATAAGGCTTATTCTACTCCAGTATATGGAAATGAGCACCTTTATTTGACAACGAGTGCACAGCTTTATGCTGATCTCATTAAATCGCATGTGAAACTGGAGTTGTGGCCAGGGTGCGCATGCACGCGTCTCCCCACACATGTGCTATAAAAAGCTATGTTTCCCAAACACCCACGTCCAGTCGGAAATCACTCACCCCCACTCCTTCGAGAGACGAGACGCCGGGATGTTTTACAGCCTACATGTACAGCCTTGGAGAATACAGATTGCTTGGTGGGTATAAATCACTGTTGATTTGTTGCCGGCAAAATGTCTTTGCCAAATAAATAAAGAAATAAAAGCTTTGTTCTTGAAGGTTAAGTGCACAGTAGTTTTATTTTATTTGTTTTAATGAAAAGTTTGGTACTGAACCCCAGAAAATTGGGTGTCTCGGAAATGCTTCTTTTTATGTGTTGACACCTATGCTGTGGGTTAATCCCAATTTCTACAAATGAATCACTTTTGGATACTCACCGGCATCGCCCATTGAAGTAAAAATATTTTCGGTGACATTCATGATGGTGTCAGTGGCCTGGTCGTAGCGTCCGATGGGCTCGCCGCAGCTGGCGTAGTGGCGGACGTGCTGCAGAAGGTCGCTGAGGGCCTGGCTCACCACGCCGGCCGCTGCGCCGACCTGCTTCAGCAGGTCGCCATCGTCGCTGGCTGAGCGGCAAGCTTTGACGCACGTCTCCACAGAGCGGTCCACCAGCTTCCCAGCTTCCACAAGCTGCTCCTGACATACGGGGGAGCTGATGGTTGGACTCACCACCTGCAAGAAGTCACAAGAATCTGAGAATGCGGTTTTGTTACAGCTGCAGCTGGTGCGAAATAAATAAAGATGGGATTGTAATATGACAATAACATCTTTTAAAAAATCTGGAATTACAAATTAAGACCACAGATGTTTTTTTTTTTTCTTTCGTGTGTTTAATAGTATCACTTTGTTCGTGAGAACGTAAATTACTTTCAGGTAGTGCATTTTTTGGGTTGTGCATGTGAAAAGGGGAACCCATAAACAAAAAATGCTTCTCATCCAGTATTATATTTTAAGATTTTCATCTGTTAATTTCTAAGAATATAATGACGCTAATAAAATTTGGCATGATGACTGGTGGCGATGACGTTAGTTCCGATCCAAAATCGGCTTGTTTGACTTTGGTGGAGTTCTGTGCGTTAAGCCGTTCTATTATGCATTAGGTGTACCATTCACAAGGGTTTTCATTTACAAAGGATGTCCTCTACCGACTTGGCTCCGCAACCCAACTACTTTCACATCATTACCTTGGTGCAGGCTACCAGCTGTGAGGTGGAAAGGGCACACTGAGTGGCGGCCGCAATCACGCGGTTCTGCAATATGGTGTCCTCGGCCACCTGGGCCACATTCTTGGCCTTCAGAACCAACATGGCAGCTGCATTGGCCACTGCCTTGGCCAAATTCATCAGGGTGTCCTGCAAAGTAAGAACCAATGTCCTTATAAAGGACGGTGTTAAAAAAAACTACTGGATCCCATTTATCTTTCTGAATATGACAAATAGCGCATTGTACTGATGTACAAGAGAAAGCACATTATCCTATCATTTACATCTCATTGCATGATACGGTCAATGCAAAAGAATGGAAACCAGTAGACCATAACGTTGTGTTGAAATGTTTGGGTTATTGCTCCATGACGCAAAACTACACGAAGTAATCATCTAAGAATAAAGCGCGGACCAATGACATAACCGTGCATTGACATAATGAGGTGAGTGAGGTCTTCATGTTTGGCCAGCATTGTCATAGGAACAAGGAGTGGGTGGGGTCCAACCTGGAACTTCTCATCAGTCTCTCCTTCCCCCATGTGACGGAGCAGGTCCCCGCTGGCTTGTCCGATACTTCCTGCTGCAGTCAGCACAGTCTGCCTGGACTGTGGGGGAGATGACATCACCACATTCAGTACGCCCCACTTGGGTGACACACACTAATGCTTCCAGACGTGATCGAGCACAATTTTCAGGTTTAAAATCATTAAGTCAATTTCAGAAGAAATTTCAAAGTCCCTGTAAAGTGAAAACACGTGAAAAAAATAAAACTTTAGAATCATGAAAAATCAAGCTGATGTTTCGCGAACACTGTACTGGCTGTCATGTCTTTTTAATTTTTTTCCCTCCCTTCCACCTTTCTCTGCATGATGCGCGTGCACTCATTGTGACCACGAGGCACTCTAAAGCGGCTATGCAAACGGACCATCCAAAGATGCATTTTCGGGATGTCGGCATAGCTAGCGAGCTAACTTCACATTGAAATAGCGCCATTTAACGCTGATATGCACTAAATAGCTGAAGTTCTTATCGAGTGGGTGCGGGGCGATTCATGCTGGACCTCAAGTGCAGCGCTCCAAAAACTAAACAAAGACTGAAATGGAGACAAAACAGTTTAACGCTGCATCTCGACAATTGAGCACCGCATACTTTACTTCTCAACTAGCAATTACCTTCAAACCTGCCTTCGAAACAAATCACCGAATTTACAGGGTCGCTCAAGAAAAGGTCAAGTTAAACGCTGCCCGTGGAAGTCACTACAATAACGAAAGGGCGGCACACCTCAGCGGCCGCAGGCTCAACAGCTCTGAGCAGATCTGACACCGCACCCGCCAGCATCCTGGCGGCACCCATGAGCTTGTGTCCGCTGCCTATCTCATCGTCCATTAAGGCGGCGAGCAGCTTGACGCCCTTCGACATTTCAGTCAGGTTGGAGGAGATAGTAGTGATGGCGCAACCAACCGCTGTGTAGTCAGTTTCCGTTGGCTCACCTGTGGAGGGAAGCGCGCCGCCACTGTGGTTCAATGTCAGACCGGTACATTGTGCAGAGCATATGTCATATGTTGTACCATCGCGCCACTTATTAGAGCTACCATTGGAGCAGTCGGTGACGTTTCTATTGAGATCACTAAATTGAGGGAGACACTGCCCGCGAAGGAGCAAATCTTCCATGTGGATGGTGGAGGAAGTGTCACCAAACAGATGGTGAGGTAAGATTAAGACCCAGCAAAAAAGGCTGGAATGGTGCCAAGCAACACAAGGAGCAATGAGACCCATTGCCTGATCTTTAGAGCAATAAAATTCACTGTTTCAATGAAGAAAAATCAGAAATGCTTCCTTGTTTAGAGGAAACTTTTGGGCCCGTCGTCACAGAAACTTCAATAGAATTATCGTTGGCTCTGGGTTTTTTTTTTTGCTTTGCCAGTTTTAAAAATCCTAAAGATGCCTTTTGGCCAAATCGTGTTTTTTCCCCCTTTCTTTTCAAGATTTAGCTCTATTAAATAAATAAATAAAAACAACAACAACAACAAATCAATTTTTATCTCACAAATACAACTGACTGATTGTCCAACTTGAGGAGGCAGGCTAATATCTTTCAAGATCATTTCCCCAAAACCTAACAAACAACTTGATGACTGGAGAGCTCTCTTTCAAAATCACATCTTCCGGGGCCATGAAGTTTTAGATCAACTACAGCTGCAAATAGGATAGCAATGATTCACATCAGGATCAATTAGTGGACAACAACAACAATGATGACAGTGTATTCACTGGCCCATATGAGTTATTTATTATGCAGCATGAAATGTTTTTTTTTTGTTTTAATTTTTCGCAATAATGTGCAATTCATAAAAACAAGATGACTATCACAATGATCAAATGCCGTATGAGTAACTGCACAATACTTTTTCATTTTAATCCTCCATAAGTGTGTGTAAATGTGTGTGCATGGATACCTCATTCTTGCATTTTCTATATTCTTCTGGACTTTTTACCTGCAGTGAGATTGACCACAGATGCCGTTCCAGCAGTGATGGCGTCAACCTGAGAGTGGATTTCATGTTTGGATTCATCCACTTTATTCTGAACCCAAACTCTGGATGCCTTTTAGTGGAACAAAAGGAAAGGGCGCTTTAGACACATTAGGAGACCCTGATCCCGTATAAATGCTGGCATGCGACTGAACATTTGTGGTTAATATCAGAATGCATTAAGAAGAGGGGAAAAAAAAGGGAAACCGAGTGAGTTTGAGGACATGATGGGATATTGCGCAATCAGGGGCAAAGCATTTTTCATCGAAAATGTACTAAGTGGACCCTTCATTACGCCCAACTGGTAATACATCTCATAAAAGGGTGCTATCAACAATTCAGCTTTTTTTTCTGAACAAAACCGGGTATTATTATTATTTGTAAAGGCAGATTTTTCTGCTACAGCTCTTCTATGGGATCTCATTACAATACACAGGTGGTCCTTCTTTTGTGGCCCGTGGGCATGTTGAGTATGAGGAGAGGACACACCAGGTCATGGCCGAGAGGAGGCAGATTATCGACATGTCCCAGGTCAGCCTGGGCTTGCTGCACGGCATTCATGCTGCTGTTGATTGTCCCCATCAGGGCCTGCTGGGCTAGATTCTGGCAACCAGGAAAAGAGATGTTTTGTGAAGAAAGCTCAATATGAGGACAGTAACATCTACAATGAAGAACACTTCTACTTGGCGTCCATTTTCCTTCGACTTTTTCTGTGTGCACAAAAGGAGAACAGTATGGCTTTTAAATTTTGCTCACATAGCTGAAGAAAGAAAACATGAACACTCAGTAGTGGCCATTGCTGCAGCAAGCACGCGCGCCGATTGCGCATCCCATCAAAACCCGCGTCAAAATCTGTGGCACACCTTAAAGTGTCCTTTTATGGCGGGCAGCCTAAGGCACACCTGTGCAATAACCATGCTGTCAGTAATGCAACCAGCATCTTGATATTTCACAACTGTGGTTTAGACAGATTGGCGAACATTATTTGAGAGAAATGGGTCTTTTGTTCCCATAGAAAAAGTCTTTGATGTTTGTTGTTTGCCAGTTCATCTCAAGAGAATGGAAGCAAAAAAAAAGTTTATATTTTTCTTTTCGTTTATCATGCACAAAAGAAAAATGAATCCTCAGTTTTCGTGTTTTTTTTTCCCCACTGATTTTTTTTTTCTTTGAAGGACGCAGACATGAAAATTGTACTGACAAAAAGCACATAGAATCTGAAATAACATAAGAAAACGCGCTTCTTTCCCAACCTGTATTGGGTAAAGGCATGTGATTACATTAAAAAAGATCTATTGGCAAAAACATTAGGCAAAAAAGTGACAAAAATGGATCCACAGATTCATTATTTAGCTTCGGGCATCTAGTGGAAAAGCATTGAATTGTTTTGCGTGGCACTACATAGTCAGTAGATTCTGCTCTTTCATTACTGGATCTTGCTTGTGCTGCTTCTGATACTGTTAATCGCCACATACTATTGGACGGGCTGAATAATTGAAAAAGATACACTGTTTGGAGGAAATGGATCTTCTTTGGACCAAATTAGTGGCACTGGATATATCATTTCCTGCGGCACACCTGATGACACTAATGTGCCCAGCCTCACTGGTTGGGAATCACTGGCGGCATTTATCTGAGGCACTTAATGACCTTAATGGTAAATTATTATGGACTCACCAGCGGTGGCATGTGTCCTCTGTGCATCTGTCCAGTGGTGATTTGTTGTTGGGCAGAGGGCATGGTGCCTACATTGAAAGTGTCAGAGTTGCTAGCGGACCCTGAGCGAATTATACCTGGTAGGGCTACTGAGCCATGCTCCACTCGACCCACCCGGTTGAACTGTTGCTGTAAAATTGTGGACCTTGAGACAAGAGGAGAGAGATGAGAGAGCGGAAAGTGGTGAACATAATAAATACAGACACTACATCATGGCTGCAGGGAATAAACATTCGGCATTCTGATCAACTGAGCAGTTTTTGGGCATCAACCCTTTCAGGGACAGCAGCTACTACAGTGGACCGATTATCGTGTTATCAGGTTACAGGGTGCATGAAAGGGGTAAAATGGAATTTTCAGCACCAAGTAACCCTTAGTTTTTGAAAGGTTGTGATACCCTGCGAATATATTCAACGATGACAATAACTGCATATAAAGAGAGTGTCAAATTGTTGCACTCCAACCGGTGTTAGTTTTCAGTCATGCTTGCTCGATGGAGTCATTGTTTTGGCAAACGCGGAATGTAATGTCATCAAACAAGCTGTCACATAAATGCCGTCCTGTCGGAGGGCAACAACTGAAACGCGGGCTGAAAGCCCTTCTTGTAAACACTTCATCTGTAATTAAAACAATGCTTACACAAATGTACTGTTGCCATGGCGAGTAAGCATATTCAGATAAATTATTTTAGCACAAAAAAAAAAAAAAAAAAAACGAACAAAGTTCTCCTCCTTGGCACAAATTATGACTGTTGCATAAATTTTGGGGGGCAGAGAGAGAAACAGCAATTTGTTTGGGAGTGAGAACATCGAGTCAACTGGCCCGAACGCAGCAGGGGCACGATGTCCAATTGTACCGGAGAACCCTGTGGATTTCTGGTGAATACAAATTTCCAGTGTGTGCGTGTGTGTGTGTGTGTGTGTGTGTGTTTTGGTGAGGGATGTGATTGAGCGCAAAACAAGCATTGCATTAGTTTCCATCAGTCAGCAGGGCACATGGGAAAACTGGGAGAAGCAGCAACCAGCTGGGAAATGAAAATGACTGCATAAATCTATTTCCAAGACGTGATGTCTTAACCTTTGTGATATCGTAAGCTCCAAATGGTGACATTTTTCTTGCGATGAAAAATAAGAACGGCGGCTCGTGCAATTACTTCGCGGGGATGTTGGGATTTTCTTCAATCGCACTCAAATACTACAAAGAAATAAAATAAATAAATACTACAGCCATACACGATCAACACAAAAGTGTTGAGACACTCAAACCCTCCAGAATAAATACTCTTCTAAATTTTTGGAAATAGTTTGGGAAGACCTTCAAAATATTTTTGTGGAGGAACTGACGAATCTCACAGGGTGGACAATGTGGGACCGAATGTGGACGCGACTCTATATTTACTTCCATTTTCATAGACTAGCCGAATAATTTGGTCCACATAGTGTAGCAATGCTGGAAACGGATGCCAGTCACACGGAGACAACAAAAATCAATGAAAGAGAAATGTCTCTTACTTCTTAGGGGAAACAGATTCCTCCAACATGGTGGCCTCCTCATCTCCCTCAAGGCCAAAGCGATCCTTACTCTGCTTCTGTGAGCCAAAGGAGGCCGCAGAAAATGATGTTGAGCAAAATGTAAAGTAAAAGCAGGTCCTATGGATTAAAACACCAGTAGATTTTGGGCTTGCCTTTTTCAGAATGATGTCAATATATCCGGCAATGAGTTGGGATATTTGTTCTCCCTCTGTAGTCTGGACAGAGTAATAACTCTCCTGGTACTCACCAAAATCCTTTCGGGCAAAACAGAGATTAAAGGCCAGTCAAACGGTAATTGAATCGGAACATTTGAATGTCGACCAAATATTTCTTGCGCATTCCATATAACGCCACCCTTGAAGCAGGCTCGCAGATAAATAATAGATACATTAAAGCCTTCATTATTGCAGCTCTAAACCAAAGGAAAATCAAGCAGGCTTTGATGTATGTGATATAGGACTTGGGGGGGGGGGGAATAGCAAAACTACTGATGTAATCCACACCCACTAAAAAACTTTGAAAAATAAAAAAGAAACAGATTCATCCACATGCCATGCATTTTGCACAAAAAACGGGGAAGATGTGGAGGAAAAAAACAAACAAAAAACAAGCTTTAAAATAAAAAAATTTGAAAAAAATAATTGACAAAAATCTGTGAATATGCAAATCCGTCAATGTCAAATATGCGGGTTTCCGCTGTAGAGCTGATTAAAAATAAGAAGCGCTGAATCTAAAAATTGCTGCCTAAAAAGTCCAAAAACACGGTATGATATGAGTCTCCCTCTTCTGGATGTGCTATGGTTGGCACATCTCGACATCTCTTTCAACGAGCAACTCTTTCAAATATGGAGGGAAAAAAAACAGGCTATTCTCTTGCTAGCTGATAAAACAAAAAGAAAAAAAAAAGTTTTTTTGGGGGGCGGGGTGGGAGGATGGGGGGGTGGGGAATAAATAATACATCGAAAGTCTGCACAATCCTCCCAAGGCATCAATTGTTCTTTTTGATGAATTAGCCAGCCAGTAGATGTTGTCTGAACAATTTAAAGAAACCTCAACGTGCTGTAAACGATCGCAAAGGTTGAATTTGAGATTCATTCACATCTCACGCGAATCTGAGCATGGAATGTAGATTAGGTGCACGGGATTAGAAAACGGGAACATGAGTTTGTGCCGCAGATGCGATGTTGAGAGTCCAACATTACCAGGGTGAAGCTCTTAGGGGAGGCGGCCCATCTTTTGACCGTCGTCAGGGGCCACTCCTGCACCACATCTTTCGTCTTCTCATCTACTCGCATCACAGACTCTTTGGTTATCCCCAGCAGGCGTGGGACCAACTTATTTTTACCCTTCATCTTTTCCTGTCGGATAGGGGAAAAAAAAAAACATCACATCATATTCATGCCGGTGCTAAACACCTCCACAAGATGATTCATTTGAGATGTAGACGGCATGTTAATACACATGCTGCGCCGGTAGCGTTCTGCCCCCCCGACGGAGCGGAAGGGTAGCTGTGAACTGACCCAGCAGATTTCAGTCTTATTTAACTGCTGCTTTATCGAGCAGGGTCTCCACAGGCTTTAGTCACTGTCAGCGCTGCAGCATTGCGCTTCAGCCGGCACTCTGCCTGAGCAGCCCCACTGACTCCCCTGCCCACTGGAAATTCATTATATTGGAGCTCATTTCGCGGGGGCAACAGACATCCACTGCAGACCTCCTTCAAGGCTTTAACGTTTCAGTGAATGGCTCTCATTTTGGATCTCAACAGCCAAAAGAGGGAGGTTTCATACAGACGTTTTTTTTTTTTTTTTTGCAAGAGTTGCAGGAAAACAAAAATGCAAAGATTCACCATTAAACCTTTCATGTACCTTGTAACCTGATAATATGATAAACTGTCCACTGTAGTAACCATTGTCCCTGGAAGGGTTAAAAACAAATGTAGTCGGCAATATAGCCTAGTAGGAATCCTCCAATGTGACTTAGCACTCAGCTTTGAACCACAAATGAAATTGTTACCTTTCTTTTAAATGACAACTCCTGTCCACTGTGTAAAATGACACTGTTGCAAACACACTGAATTTGCAAGTGAGTCAAATAAAACCGTAAGGTGTTAAACATGTTAGAAGAGTGTTAATTAAAATCATTGTCAATCACTAAGTCTGGCTCAGGCACAAGTGAAACGTGGTTTGGCAATACAGCTGCTGGCACAGCATACGCACAGCCAATTCTGTCAAATTGGATGCATGACAGGTGTAGAGTTATTTTTTTTATTTTTTTTTTGCAATTGTTAGCAAGAAAGATTATTTATTCATATTGCATCCATTTTCCGAATTCACCCCAAAGAGATCAATGGGATCAATGTGGCATAATACCAGCGATTCATTCAAAGAAAAAAAACAAAAAAAAAAAAAAACCAAGAAACAACAAAACTAAGATAACAAACGAAATGGGCAGAACCAGTCATTGAAGAAAAATATCGCGCTCGGCAGAGATAATTAGCGTGCTGTGATAGAGGCACTTTTAAGAAAGGTCAGGGTAATCAATTTTTATTGCACTCTTAAAAAAAAAAAAAAAGAGTTGTGAGAAAAGCAAAAAGGCACTTCATGGGAAAGCCTCAAGGTCAACGACTCAACAAAACCCAGAAACTTAATGTCCATGATATTATCATAAACAGGTTTGTTCAAAGCATTTCACTCACTCAAGCCCTGATTCAATGTGATTTTCCGATTTTCAGTTCCTGATTTCGATTCCAATTGATTTTTATTTTATTTTTTTTAATAAACAAAATGACTCCTTTTCACATCTGCATTTTGTCTTTGTTACAAAGAGTATGTTTTTGTAACTTTACCAAAAAAAAAAAAAATAATAATAATAATATTGACTGTTTCACTACATTTTTATCTTATCGGTATTTTGTTGCTTTTGTTTTGTTAGTACCAGAACTAAACATGAAAATAAATAAATGTACGATATAAGTGACTGTAGTGCGTTGACCTCACAGTGCAGAGGTACCGGGTTCGATTCCAGCTCCGGCCTTCCTGTGTGGAGTGTGCATGTTCTCCCCGTGCCTGCGTGGGTTTTCTCCGGGTACTCCAGTTTCCTCCCACGTTCTTTTCAATTCATTATGACATCCCTAATTCAATTTACATGAGTGTCAATGTCCATTTTCTATTGACGCAGGAAGTCTGATTTCTTTCTTTCCTTAAGTGGGCAGTTGTCACAAAATGGGGAACTTTGGTCAAGGTTTTCAAACATGCGCGTGCAGGAAATCCCAATCTAGGGGGATTTCATTTTGCGCTGAGACTCACAAACACACACACACCGCTTGTGCACACTATTTTCACATCCGTGATGTTTACGGCCAAAGAGCTCCTGCCAAACAAAAGCCTGTGGTGATTAAAGACTGACAGAAGATAAATGGAAGATTAAATAAACTCTCAGCCGCCATGTCAACAAACCCAGGTGTGTGCTTGAGCCTCTGTTCGCAACAGCAGCAGAGTGCAGTTGCTCTGAATTATTTAGCGGCGCTTCGAATCCTCCATCACTACGTTTCCTCATCGAACACAGAAAAGCGCTTGTGCATTTCGACGCGCGCGCCATTACGTATAGGCAAAGCAAATCTGAACCTTGTGATGTGCTTCAACTACGGGGCCAAAAGTGCAATTTAACGTCCATTACGACGAGCTGCAATCCAATACTGCTACTTCCCTCAAAGTTCATGAAAGAGGCCGAGGGCAGCAAGTTTTTATGATACCCGCGGGTGCAACTTGATTATGGTCTCACGCAACACTGCCACAAACCACAAAATAACAGAACTGCTACCGTCACAAGCCGATCAGAGTACGGACTAATGCACAGCTCATTAAGCTTGTCATTAGTTTTAATAAGCCTGTAATGTTTCGGATGAGCGTCGACACATTTTTTTCCCACATGAAATATACACTTTATAACATTTTCGATCATAAATGCCGCTTCTTGACATCTTGCTCTGGGCAAAAGTGCAAGGAAGATAGTTTCGCTTTCATTCATCCACTTTATATAACGCTTGTCCTTGATAGGTGATTTGGTGTCCATTCCGGCTTACTTTGGGCTTACTTTGTGGAGTGACCAAAGAGCCATACATTACATCTTGGTGCCTGGCTTCTTGGGGTTGAACTGACAAGTCAACTACTTTATTCCGCATTGATTAGAGCTCCAAGATGATTAATGGGCAATCGCGGATTTTGGCATTAACAACATGGATGCTTTGCTGATGGGAACAGGTGGTGGGGTTACGCAGAGAACTAGCGACAGTGTCTTAAGCCTGTGGAAAGAGTTGACTAAAAATGAAATTAACATGTCAGATGTAAAATACTATTATGCTAGTCTACCCTAGCTATCCGATAAAAAGTCGTAAGTCCTCAGCTGTCAATAATTTCACCAAATTGCCTCCTGTAACAGTGACTTTTCCTCCTTCCACTAGCCCATCCCCCCGTGACTCACTCATCCAATCCCAACTCAAAGACACCTTCATGGTCCTACAGACAGTGAGATCTTGTAAAACGTTCAATTTTTACGAACAGACTTGTTTCAGTATAGACTGCAGGAGGTACATTGAATAATACTGAATAATATCTCATCAATATTCAAGTGCAGAGTGACTCGCAAAACAACCTGTGAAAGACAATATTTGTGAAACCATTCGGTCATTTATGTTTCAATTGCAATTACAGGACATGACTTTTTAATCTACATTCAAACAAACAAAAAAAGTATCCGTATGTTACACTGTGTGCTTTAAGGGCTTAGTGTACAGCATTAGGTCCTTACCTTCACCAGGAAAAAGGACACTCCATATGTTTGCAATGATCTGGCCAGTTTTACATATTTCACTTTTGCTTCTATCTCTGTCATCTCTCCACAGTTTTTATGATCCTGCGCACAGAAGATTAAAAAACATTCTCCAGCATCCAAATAATTAAAAAAAAAAAAAAAAAATTCAAATCAGAGATTCAAGTAAACTTTTGTGGATCTTTTTTTTTTTTTTTGGTTACTCCGAATCTGCCTTTGCTTTTCTCTAGCACATCAGCTTTTAGCTTTTCATTAGAAAACCCCCAAAACAAAACAAAAAAACCCACAACAGCAGCAACAATAAAAAAAATAATAAAATTAACTAACTAATAATAATAATAATAATAATAATAATAATAATAATAATAATAATCAAGTAAGATGTGGTACAGTAATATATTCAGTAATATTTATGGTTTGAGGGTTAGGTTCAGCAACAGGTGGCTTTTTTTTTTATTTCAATTAAAAGACAGTCAAATCTGCACTGCAAACTTTTATAGGTCAAATTTAAAAAGCAAAAATGAAAATATCTCAAAAACATGACCAGCGACAAAAATACGTTAAAGGACATCAAAAGTCATCTCTAATTAAAATGTACTGCTGACTAGTATTTGTTGTTTGCAGTTCAAACACACTGTCAACATATAACAACTCTATTTTAACCGTTGTCCAATGAGCAATACTGCCGATACGACCACTAAACGATGTAGCGTATACGTACTTGGAATACTTTTTTCTCTGACCCTCTTTGCTTGATGTATTCTTTCGGCAAGAATTCCTTCAGGCTATGGAGAGAAATGACATTTTCACATGTTTGCTGTTGTTGACCGACAGGCATTCCCCCTCTCGATGAGCATAGCTCAACATATGAGGTCATTCTTGCTCTCCTGCCTCGAGAGTCGAAAACAGTTGTAACAGCTGATACCCCCTGGAGTTTTCCAGGAGGGGAAATAACATGGAATGGCGATGGAAAACATCATCTTACATGCACAGCTGGAAAGTGAATATTTAAAAGTAGTACTAGCGTCCAGAACCATTGGAGCTAATGCATCTGAGTACAAAACGCTTACTCGAGAAATCCAGGCTTGTGTTTGTGCTCCACGTGGGGTCCAAACTGGATCTGAGCCTGGATCCCTGCAAACTCACAGGCTTTATCAAAGGAGACAGGGTGGGATCCATTCAATATGTCATCCCTGGCCTGGAGGAGAGACGAGGAAAAGGAAGGAAAAGTAGTAAAGAGCATACCGCCACAAAGGCAAAAGATTGGATTCCAAATGCGCAATGTGCACTTGATCAAACAGTATGTCTTGAATGTCCTCCTGGCACAAAAGTCAGATGATTTGGTTTCATCTGCTTATCACGGCACATTACATACTGAACATGGACACGAAATTACACACACATCAGGCTTTCACAGCATCCTCCCTTCACTGCATTGCGTAATGACCATTAATGAAACCGAATCCATTTTACAACTGTGTTTTTCCATTAGGCAAAAAGGTGCATTTCAAAATTCCGGTGTCTATTTAGCCAGGCTGTCAACATGACAATAAAGGCGGCTAGAAAGGGTGAAGCTTTTGTTGACATCCTTGAAAGGGTTTTGTGTGAGTGCGTATGTTGGATGTTCTCTCCAGAGGCGAGCCAGCTTTCTCTCTTGCTTTCTAGTTTAGTGCTGCAAAATTAATGCTTCAGAAGATGAGAGCATTGCAGATGTGAGAAAGAGGCCCCATCAGTGCTTTTAGTATCGGCAAGCCGACTGTATGCGCACAGAGCTCCGGCTTGACTCATTCTTATGTCTCATTACTTAAGTGAACAATTAGTTGGCGGCTTACACGACTGTAATGAGGACAACAATCTCCTGCACTTGTGCTCATGAGTCCTTTCCCCGGTGCGGTGCACAGTGGAGCGCATAAGCTCTTGTAGACTGGGATGTTCGAAAATTAGCCCTCACGCATGCCATCATCTGCGACGCGCTCGCCTGTACAATGTTGTGTGTGTGTGTGTGTGTGTGTGTGTGTGTGTGTGTGTGTGTGTGTGTGTGTGTGTAACAGTGAAAACAAGGGGAAGACACAGTTTAATGTTTGCATGAATAGGGCTGTACAATTAATCAAATTCAAATCCACATCGGAAAGGCTACAATTTGGGCAAAAAACAAAATCTATGCCTCGATTCGGTTGGTCTGTAGTCTTTACTTTTAAATACTGTATACACGTGTAATTTATTTAGTTTTTTTATCTCGTGTCTTGATAAGTGCAATGCTTAAGAAGTGCAGTCCAGTTCATTTGCATTATTGTTGTAATCTGATTTATGATTTACTGATTTATTTTGACACCACCCTTGTTTGGTTGAATTTCACAACGTTGCGGTCGCGAATGGTTAAAAGTCAAAGTGCTGAATAAGTTAACGATTCTAAAAATCATATTTGGTAAAAATAATGACATGATAAGTCGCAATCGCAATATTGAGGGAAAAATAAGTGCAATTCGATTCTTTTTCCACATTGTTCGGATGTTGCATTGTCAACTATGCAAAATCTAACACTCAGCAAAATTAAAATCAATTGTGATTGTCGTGCTAAAGTGTAGAGCTAAAATACATTTGATCATATCAAAAAGTGTTATTTTGAGCACCTTAATCAGCTACAACTATTTCGGAAAACGTCAGTGGTAATCCAGTATGACAGAGTATTGTATTGGATTTCATTAGAAGGAGAAGAAACTACACCAAGTTAACATTTAACTCTTTGTAGATGTGCTATTTCAACAAAAAAGCATGTTATGGCATTGTTTGTGTTCCAAATATTTGCTTTGAAGCGTTACAACGCACCATATAGATGCTATTCATTCGCCCATTGTTGATGCTTCCCTTTACATGCTAGCAATAAGCTAGCATGCTAATGGCAACATTATGTGGTTATTGTAAATACACAACATGTAATGTGTTTTGTATTGAGTTTAGTTTGACAGTAAACTTTAACTGGGAACAGCATTCAATTGCTTGAAGCTTCTTTTTGTTTAAGATGAGTTCACAATGTCAAACTGTTGCTTTGTTGTCAAGTGAATTCAGTCACTACACACTGCTCGTTTTCACTTGTATCTGAAGGGGTAACAGTGGCAGACTCAATCCTAAATTGGAATATGTGACTGATGAAGATATTCCAAACCAGATCAGAATTCTCTCTTGGCAGATGTGGAAAGTGATAGACCGCTCTGGTTGTATGGCTTTTGACCCGAGCTTGACAAAAAGAAGTGTCGTATGTAGCACGAGACGTCACAAACTGTGACGCAAAACAGCCTGAGGTCACCCGGCCCACTGTGGCCCAGCACGGTGGTGGACAAATATAGAAATGCTGAAACAGGGATACCCGAAGCAACTGACAGCAGTGCTCACTAAGCATACTTGCTAATGCAGTAAATAAGCATGTAAAATACTTAAATATTTAGATTTTGAAGTGCATATACAATAGTTTGAAATTCCTTTTTATGTTCTTCTATGTAGCAGTAAAGCACCTTGTATACAAATTGTACTCTCCACATAAACTTGCCCTGCCTATACACTGTATTGATATGCCTATATATTTCTGTACAAGTGAAAAAAAAAAAGGATTTGTTTAGCTATTATTTCATTCCTTGTTAAACTCTCCTCAAGCACTACAGGAGAATGGTAACGATACAAAAGAGTACCAGGGCCACAGTGAAAGGAAAAACAAATAGTAACATTGAAAGAAAGATGTTCTTTTCTACAAGTATCCCTTAACACACGTTTGGAACATTAAATGATGAACTGTGGAAAAAGAAGTTATTGTTAGCTGACAAATTCCAGCAGTAATTCCTCATCTGGCCCAGCTTTTCTAATAAAAGATCTTGTCACTACCAGTCTGTTTTGGGAATTGGCTAAAATTAGGCAATAGAGTGGAAGCTGCAGTGTAGTACTATTGGGTGAAGTTATTACCATGGTGGCTTATTCTGTTCTCAACGCAAACATATGACAGAGAGGGAGTGGTTGTGTAGGAGAAGGAATGAGGCCTATGCTGGCAATGTGTCCGATGTGTGCTGACACTGGACAGAACGAAACATCTTAGCTAATCATTGAGTCATCACAATGGCAAGGCAGAAAAAAAAAAAAAAAAAAAAACACCAACCCAAATTTGGAATCTTGATGTCAAGGGGAGAAAACGGAGGGAGTGATTGCTTGGAAATTGTGTCCAAAAAAATGGGTGCAGCAAAGAAAAGAATCACAGTCATGGAAGCCTGGGGTTGGTTAGTTACACTTGGATAATGATCTCTCTTCTGGGTCTTTCTGGCATTTTTAACACGATGTGAAATTACAGCCTCTCCGATGTGAAGAGCCGACGCAATCTGCCAGAGTGTGTAACAATCAGAGTGTGATGTAGACAATGAGGCAGAGATAAATGGAGAAGGGCAACTATGAGGCAGGGGGCAGGAGGCGGGGTTGTTGTTATGAGAGGAAATATGACTCTGCGTTCGGAGCGTGATCTACACAGCGCAGTGGTGTGTGTGTGTGTGTGTGTGTGTGTGTGTGTGTGTGTGTGTGTGTGTGTGTGTGTGTGTGTGTGTGTGTGTGTGCCAGAGTGGGGATATGTGTGATTATGCCAGAATGTGTGGGAGATAGAGAGGGAGTGGACACATGAAGTGAAAGGGAAGGAAGCGGAGGGTAAGAAAAATATTGAGACAAAAACATGAGAAAGAGAGATGCGAACAGCAGGCAAGCTAGCTGAATGAATATATATGAACTAACGCCTTTGGTTTTCTTCCCTTCAGTTTCACAATCATGCTAATGATGTTGACGTGGACATTTAACTTGTTTAAGGGAAGGCTCAATAATTGTCATGACACAGACTTGGAAGTAGTAAACTGCATCTGTGTCTTTGCTATGACATCACTTGATTACCTGTTACCAGAGCATAAAATAGCAGTGAACAAGCCAGTACACATCTCATCTTATGTTAGCGCTAGCATATTTGCTTATATTATTGCATGTTGCGTAGGCTACATTGTAGCTAAAAGTCATGACAGTATTTATTTATGGCCATATGTTTCGGACAATAAATCACTTTTTCATAGTTTGGCTCGTCCTGCTACTTATATTCACGTGCAACTCGAAAAATCAGAGCTCGACAAGCATCCAAAATCCCGGGTCCCTCATCGTGTTTATGGCAGCGAACGAATTCCGTTTGGATTTGAAACGTCCACTTTTAAGTACGTAAAACGGTTTCTTTTTAGTTTAAAAGGGCTGACCTTAGCTAGAATCCTGTCAAAGCACCAAAAGTATTTTCCAACCACCAAAATTAAAAGTCGAAGAGAGCAATTTTTTTTCAGCCAGCTTGCCGTGTCAGATTGTGTTCAACCTCAGACGTTTCATACAATAGATTGAGTGGCTTAGCTTCTTTTGCTTTTATTGGTAAACTTTCATTGACTGCTGTTCTATTGATGACATTTGCACAAAAGCAAGGAAAGCTGTGGAGCAACAAAAGAAAAAAAAAAAGAAAGGAAAACAATGCTCTTCACAACTACAGGCTGTACTTTCACTTTACTTTCAAGCAGAAGCGTTTTTTCCGAGTCCTTTAAAATTGTGCGTTGCAACTATTTGTTCCATGCATGAGTGTCTGCTGCTTTGTGTCAGTGGGATACTCTCCCCGGAGAGGAGAAGCTAATGGGAGTGTGGTGATGTGAGCAGAGTGCAAACACTGATGAGTAGCTAACAGCCCTCAGGGAACCCTTCAGTGACTGCAGGGCGCCCGCCATTTATAAGCAGTTAGGTCGAACCCGCACTTCTAGAAGAATAGAAAAAGAAATACAAAAAAGGAGTAGACTAACTTAGGAAGCTTAACTTTATCCTCCAAGATTGTCTTCTCAGGCATCCACAAATAACAGTATATCTTCCCACAAGATATATTAAACAGTCCATCACACTGTCTGGCAACTTTATTTTCTCATCTGCCCATGTGGTACTCCTAACTGTCTATTTCACCGTTAATGCGCTGCTGGGTTAAACTGTCCTCTCTCATGGCGTGTTGTTATTAAACCACATGGGCTATAAATGGTATAGTTTCTCTTTGACTGGAGTTACGCGGTGGGGCTTAATGCCCAGCGCGGTGCCTATCAAGTTCAGAGTCTGTAAACATCTACGGAGCTCGAACTGTGTTGAGATAAATACTAAGTGCTTCGGTATGTTCCACTCCTACCTGGACATAAAGCAGGTTGAGCTGGACGGGGTCCCGCGAGTCCACATTCTGATCCGAATAGAAGAACTTGCGCCTGAGCAGCAGCGTCTCGCTTTCCTCCACCCCCTGCTCTCTGAAGGTCCTGCTGTGGTCCAGCCAGTTCACTGCGCAATCGATACACATTGTGTCGGCCCACACGCTCAAATAAGTAGTTGCACACTTAACCAACGTGCTCTTAGGGAAGTATGCTGAGGGTGAAATTAACCAGGCGTAGACACACTATTTTAGAAGGATAATCCTCTTGATTAAGAGTGAGAAGGTCCAAATCTTTTTCAGGGTGCAAACATGGGTTGTTTTCTTTCTGAGGGAATGAAAAACGAGCGTCTCGTGATTCATTTTCTCGCGTGTTGCATGTTTTGTAATTGCCGTTGTGTTGGGAAATGAAAATAAGGTACGGGGAGGGGGGGAAATATTAAGTGTACAATGAATTGTCTTCACTGTGGTGGTACTGTTGAAGATTTTTGGACCCTTAACCCAAAAGTTGATTTTTTTTTCCACTCAGGAAGTATTCAAAATAATTTGAGGGATAGAAATTGACTCCCACACAATTCCAATAATGATGACAACGTAGCGGCTGGTGTCGTGCAATAATCGCATTGAATAGGATGCTATTGATGGCCAACACTTACAGTCATCATCTGTATGCAGTTTGGCTTTGAGCTTCTCCATCTTCCTCTCGTCTCGCAGTAAAAGCGTTCTGTCTTTTTTCAGTGTTCCCATCCCGTCCTCCTTCTTGTCCTCCGGCACCTCCTGAATGAGTGAGTACTCCTCATAGTTGGTGATTCCTGAAAGCAGGAAGCAAGTCAGGAGGATTCTCAGGGGAGGAGATGCCTTCAGAAGCTTGTGTTGCGGATGGAACAAACTCTCAATCTTGTTCTTTTCCAATTTCTCTGGGATTTGTTTTTTGTTTTTTTTTTAATATGGGAGAGGTGGGTAAACAAATTGAGTGCATCTTTACAAGCAACGGTAAGGTAGAAGCTAGGGTTACAGCTCCATGATGGACAGGGATGATATGATTTCAATTTGTTCTGGACTGGGGACGAGCTATAAAGACATTGCGGTGTAGTGCTGAAAGGAATCAGCATTGCCAAGACTGCAAGCCAGGTTGCTTTACAAGCAGTACAATCTCAAGGACATTGCATACTAGGGATTGTATAGATTAGTCGACTTGTTGTTAAATGTACTTTTTTTTTCACCAATTAGTAAGATATAATGTTGATGTTTGGCCTTGATTGAAATGAAGTAGGGGCTCATATACAGCCGTTGGGCGGTCGGTGAGCAAATATGAGACAGCCGTTCTCGACTCCAGCCCGTCTGCAAGTCAACACGAATCAGCCGAGTCGGATGGTGACAGTCATCGCTCGCTGTCGGCAGTTGGGAAATGATGCAAAACGCGCAATATGATGTTTTGCCTTTGAGTGGGGAGAGGTGGGTAAACAAATTGAGTGCATCTTTACAAGCAACGGTAAGGTAGAAGCTAGGGTTACAGCTCCATGATGGACAGGGATGATATGATTTCAATTTGTTCTGGACTGGGGACGAGCTATAAAGACATTGCGGTGTAGTGCTGAAAGGAATCAGCATTGCCAAGACTGCGAGCCTGGTTGCTTTACCAGCAGTACAATCCCAAGGACATTGCACACTAGGGATTGTACAGACTAATCTACTTGTTGTCAAATGTACTTTTTTTGTTCCCACCAATTAGTAAGATATAATGTTGATGTTTGGCCGCGATTGAAATGGAGTAGGGGCTCATTTACAGCCGTTGGGCGGTCGGTGAGCAAATATGGGACAGCCGTTCTCGAATCCAGCCCGTCTGGAAGTCAACACGAATCAGCCGAGTCGTATGGTGACAGTCATCGCTCGCTGTCGGCAGTTGGGAAATGACGCAAAACACGCAATATGATGTTTTGCCTTTGAGTGGCGCTAGACTTGAGTGGAGCCTCTGGAGTGCGAAACACAACGGACGCTTAAGTCTATGGGAAAATGCGCACACCGACAGATTTTCTGACTTGCATATGGGAGAATATGCACACGCTACATCTCGATCATGGGCACAATTCAATTGTTTTTCTTCCCATGTCGTGTAGGGCCTCCATAGTTTTGTACACAACAAGCTAATGCAAAGACACTGAACTCAAAACAGACACTTTCCAATATTGCTCTTTGCCAGATTCACGGTTCTCTGTGAACTGTAATTAAAAGTGACAAGAGAGGGGAAACAAAATTAGGTTTGAGAGGAGCCTGGGCCATTGGAGGAATGCTTCATCTTCTCCATGTGATAAATGGTACCTATTTTCCAAACAAGAGGCGATAAGGACTTTTTCCATTGTAGCGACAACGCTTTTATTACTTAACAAATGCTGCTGTCCAAGTATAGACTCAACACCACATGATAAAACACTCCGTATGTGCTAACTGGTATGCATAGGACTAAAAATAAAATAGATCATGAATAATTTAAGTCTTCGATGATGGGCAAAAAATATTCTTATCAGCTGCGGTGGGAGAGGATGATCACTCACCTATTCGACTGCATATGGTAACAAGAAGCTCCCCGACCGTTTTGGAGTCGTCCACCATGATGGTCTTCACCGCGCCGTCAAGCATTTTGATCTTCTGTGGTCTTTGTTTCTTCTTGTACTCCAAAATATCCTGCAAGGCAGAAGAGGAAATGATTCTCAGCAGAGGAATACCGCGCATGGCGCGCTGTAACAATGTAATCACATTAACAGATACGTGAACACTGACAGTTCTCCACCTCACGCTGTACTACTTAATCTTACTCCGTTTCGTAGCATGTAGTAATCCAGGGTTCTTCCAGATTCCAGCCATATTCCTTTCCTGGGATCATCGTCAGACAGGAAAAGACCATAATCGGAGGCTGAAGCACAGCACAAAAGGGGAACCGTGAATGTAAATGATGATAAAAATAAACATCCATCATTAAATTTGGATGAACTCAATTGTCCGTGAACCTTGTCCGGACTGAGCTTCTGGGACACGTTCCCGGATGATCCTGCAGGCGTCGTACACAGGCGTGGATGGCTCAAATTGCATCGTCTTGACCACATTGCACTGGCGCACGCAGATCTTTAGTGACAAAGCCACCATCTTGGGGGGTAAAATGGCCTCACTCGCCTACACACCTAAAACACAGAGTGGAAAACGATTCCGCATGATACGTCAACCACTTCAACCTCGCATATTGTCACAATACGTCAATGGGAATTTGACGAAGAACATTAGCTTGATGCTAGCCACTACGGAATTTATGCTAACAGGCTGGAACTTTTTGTTGAGGAACTCAAAGGTAAAAACTTAATCTCGTAATGCACTTAACTTTTAGAATAGAGCGCTCAGGCCCACTTAGCCGTCGATGTGCGTTCCCCGTAGAGAAGAACTACGGTCCAATGACGCAAGCTAAACATATAGCAAAATCAGGTAGTGAGAGGGGCTAAGCCCCTAAAACACAGAGTGGAAAACGATTCCGCATGATATGTCAACCACTTCAACCTCGCATATTGTCACAATGCGTCGATGGGAATATGACGAAGAACATTAGCTTGATGCTAGCCACTATGGAATTTATGCTAACGGTCTGGAACTTTTTGTTGAGGAACTCAAAGGTAAAAACTTTAATGTCGCAATGCACTTAACTTTTAGAATAGAGCGCTCAGGCCTACTTATCCGTCGATGTGCGTTCCCCGTAGAGAAGAACTACGGTCCAACGACGCAAGCTAAACATATAGCAAAATCAGCCAGTGAGAGGGGCTTAGCTAATCAATTTATTATGCTCTCTAAACACCAGTATTTGTTTTGTTTTGTGTGCCCGGATGAAATTGATGGGCGTTTGAGCCCCTGAATGACATGGCATGCATATTTGAACATATGAAACAGAGTCGCAATACAAAATACCACAAGGCAAAGAATCTCATTATTTCAGTTATGGCCCTGTAGTCATTTTTAGCTGGGAAATTGAATTTGTTGTGTACCTAGATGCACTCCCCCTCCGCCCCCAAACAAGGTAAGTAACATACAGATAAAACCTCTATAATATATACAAGAATAAGTGAAGCGAAAACAATGAAAATGGCATTCCTCCTCCACCACCACCACATCATTATTTGCTGCTGCAGCCTGCTCACTACCCCACGAGCAAGTCTGCGCGGTGAGACAAATTAGTGGGTTGTTTTGTCACATTCAGCAACACAGGTCAAGCGGCTCAGGGGCTTCCGAGACTTATATGGGCAAAAAAAAGGAGCAAAAAGAGCTTTTTCTCCTTGCCCATCTTTACCTCAAGCGTCTACTTTCATGCACTATAACACTTGTTATTTTTACTACACAGGTACTTATCCAGATCCCAAACACTTTGCAGCCTTAATTTATAAAATGACTGAGCAGAATATAGTAGTTGTGAAGTTTAGCTATGACTCCCTAGCAGCTCACATATGGAAAACTATAGGGAGGATTGTTTTGCCACTGAAGTGAAACGATGATTCATTCTGGATTTATTATTTTTGGATCACTTGGGAAGTTGTGGTACTAACTTTTGGTTGTGCTCCTGTGTGTTTTCTTTTTACTGTTGCTTGACGGGAAGTCAACAGCTAAATAGTGGGGGGATTTGTTTCATGAAAAATCTTAAATGTTGATATATTCTTCAGATGGAAGGAGAAAAAAATGAATCTGACATGTTCTCAGACACTTTTTTGTACACACATCATCAAGGAACCTTGCTGAGTCAGAGTAGAAAATCTGGAAAGTCCATTTTCTGTCATGATGAAGTTGTGAATGAGGTTGCCTGAGCCTCTGTCATAGTTCCTCTCCGACAACCCTACTTTTTTTTGATTAGTTTTTCTTATTTCAAAGTAGGAATAGCTAACCACAAAGAAAGAGGAGGTAATAGCACTGCATGAGATTTCCTTTGCACAGGATTGCTAAGAAGTCCCACAGAGTTTTTGTCGCATGCAGCGCTTCCGCAGATACTCCACCAGAGAAGCGGCAGAATGAAAACACAACATGGGCGAGCACTCAGGCTTACATTCAGTCTCACACAAAAACGCACAAATTCTCTTTATGGCCAAACAGACTGCATATGGACAAATGTTTATGAGGCCTGTCTACTCATAAGCAAGGTTATTTTGTGATGGTATCCGTTTAAGTTTACTGCTCCAAGGGGCATTTGTAGATGATACTCTCGACATCATCCGTCACTTCGAAAGAGCGAGCACGGCACAAATCACACGATGCAACCTCGGTGGATAATTAGAATCCCTCAGCATACAGAAGTGGGAGAACATTTTTCACCAGCATCCTGCTGTAAACACTGTAATGTAGCAAAGTACATGTTCAAGCCTGGGTGGCAATTTGCATCCATCAATTTTCTTTTGCTGATTGTTTTCAGGGTGGGCTGAATCCAATCCCGTCTGACTGTGGGATGGAGGTTAGGTCCAATCTGCAGGGCACATATTGAGCAATAACCATTCACATTCACATTCAGACCGCAGGCTTTGATGAACCTCACACAGGATTCGGTGTCAGGCTACTGCAAGTTCACCGATGGTGGCCCTGTCACCAGGAACAAATTCATAAATAAATACGATGAAATCGACATGTTCTTGCTTTGTCAAGAAACAAAAAAGTTCTACATCTTCCCTGCTGACCGGCAATGACTCTTCGCGCCCGAGCGGTTTGCGTATGCATACCAACAATGTCATCAGTGATCCTTTGGTGACCCAGGGCAGGTATAAGAGCCAGTGCCACCAGAGGATTAGTCCCTCTTTTCTTCTTGCGTGCCGTTCGCATACCACTGCTCTCTACCCAGCAGGTCAAATGATTTGTCTATCTACGTCTGCATTCCGTCACTGGGAGCCTTGTGACTGTGCCGGTCAGCACTGAAGGTTTTTTTTTCACCCTTCAAAGGCTGCTACGGTGTTTCGGTTTGTCTGTGAGGCGCCATGGCTGGTGTATCGCAGCTGTGACATTCTTTTGGTTCACTTATATTGATCAATTACAATCGATCTTTGTACTGCAATGCGCAATTTTTTTGCCCGTCAGGCTAAAATCCGGTTTGAGCAAGACGAAGAAATGTCAAATTTTAATTATTGAGTAAGATTTTACATAAAATCCATCCATCCATCCATCCATTTTCTGAATCGCTTTATCCTCACAAGGGTTGTGGGGGGTGCTGAAGCCTATCCCAGCTGTCTTCAGGCAGTAGGTGGGGGACACCCTGAACCGGTTGCCAGCCAATCGCAGGGCAAACAGAGACGAACAACCATCAGCGCTCACATTCACACCTAGGGACAATTTGGAGTGTTCAATCAGCCTGCCATGCATGTTTTGGAATGTGAGAGGAAACCGGAGTACCCGGAGAAAACCCACGCAGGCCCGGGGAGAACATGCAAACTCCACACAGGGAGGCCGGAGCTGGATTTGAACCCGGTACCTCTGCACTGTGAGGTCAACACGCTAACCACTGTTCCACCGGGCCACCCTTTTGATAACATGCAAAAAAAAAAAAGTTTATGAAAATTAAACAGTTAATAAAACAAAGCAAGTCTGCAAACATTCACACGACAACGATATTTGATCCGTGAAGGTACAGACTCGCGTAGGGCCGACAAAACTGTCAAAATCTATTCACACAGGCCTGCATAAGTGAAAAGACTGAAGACATTTTCAGTCAGACGCGATAATGGTGTCATCAAAACCTCAATGATGAGACCCATTTTCAGGCTGCAAGGACAGCATAACGAGCGGAGATATTTGTGGCGTCAGGAGGAGTTGAAACCATTTTTTTTTGCAAATCAGTTTTGCGTTAACGTCTCCAAAAATAGCAGAGATCACCTTGCTGAGGACCAGGAAGCACAGAAGCCATCTGGAGAGAGAAAAGCTCTAATGACTGCACTATCAGTAGTCGTGTGGTGCCTGATTACACCACCAGTTAATCACCCTACAGACAAGGAAGTGGCTCGACAGAACACTGAAACCACTTCGTCTTGGTCATACTCTGTCTCTATCCAGGGCTTGTTAGATTTTTGTATCGGGAATCCGAACGCTTCGAAGCGGACAACAAATCAGAGCGCCAGCTGCGCATTTGGATGGCAAACAAGAGACAATGGCTGTGTTACATCATATGGTATGATACAGAAAGCCTGCATAGTTATTTAGATTGTACGAAAAGCGTGTCCTTTGATCGACGTTGCTTTGTGAGCTTTGAACATTATTGCTGGAACCAAATAAATAGGAGTGCACTGGACAGAGAATCAGCACAGTGCGGGATTATCCCTCCAATTTCAATCCATCCGGCATTCGCAGAATTAATTACAATCATCAAGAAGTTATGCTCCAGCATTAGATTTGATTATTACTGGTTATTGCGAGTTTTAAGACATATCACACATCTCCGCTGTGATCAGAGCTTGCCATTGAATTATACACCATTTAATGAGATGGAACAGCCACGTAAGAAAATCAAAGATAATAGGAGGTTTTGATTGGCATGTCAGAGAGGCATTAGCTGTGTGAAGACTCGAGCAATCATACACCTTGAGTGCATGCCAGAAATATTTGTGTGAACACCGGTCAAATGAGAAGGATGCAAGGATTCACACAAATCCGGTTGTCCTTTAAAAAAAACAAATACACACACACAACATATTTGTATTGTTTACTGTTTAAGTAAAGGGTGTCAAACTCATTTTTGTCGCGGGCCACATTGTAGTTACGGTTTGCCTTGGAGGGCCGTTATGAATTTTGGGAAACCATACAAATGTTTAATCACCTCCACATAATACATACACAGCGCACAACAAATTGATGAATAACTAGTTTTAAAATCAGAAGTCAAGAATAATAACTGTTTTTGTGGATTACATAGGACAATTTGAAATTTTGGTTCAGACTTTAGCAAGCATCATGGAACTTGACATACTTGATTTGCTTTTGCGGGCCATATAAAATGATGTGGTGGGCCAGATCTGGCCCCCGGGCCTTGACTTTGACACCTGTGGTTTTAGTGAACATAGAGATTTAGCATTTTGGACAATGAGCATTGCAACACAATAAAATACAATACAATACAATACATTTCTAAATGTGTGAGGGGGCAAGAGCATGTCTGTTAGATTTTGTTGCAAATGCACCA